CTCTATTTATTAATTTTGAATTAAAGTTATAATTTGATTTGTTATTTAACTCATAAAAAATAAACACTTAAGTAACTGTTATTTTGTGAATCGCAAGCCTAGAAGACACAAATACTTATCATTTTTATTTAGAATGACAAAAATATATATGCATTATGTAAAGAAATCAATGTAAACATTACTCTCACTCACTCGTCTCATATAAAATCTATATTCGCTAAACAAACATTGAATATTTTTGGAGACAAAGAACTGTGTTTACCTTTTTCTCTTTACCCTTTACGATCAGGGTTTCAAGAAGGTTTTCTGTGAGCAGCAATAATAGGGTAGGATTAGGTAAGTACCTTTTTTTTGTGAATAAAATAAAGTAAACTGGACCACAGTGGGGTCTCTCAAGCCTGAATTTGTAAACATGAATAAAATAATAGTCTAGTGTTCACTGAAAATAAGGAAAATCGATCGATGTATTCATCATAATGTTAGAAAGATTATCTTCACTTCTCGCTCATTTTTTATTTTATTTTGTTCATGCTATACCCCTTATGTCACATTTAATGAGTGATGTGATGTAAGTGTGACATTACGGCAGGAAATCGTAGCCTAGAAATGTTCGGAAAAGCGATTTTATCTGAGATTTGCTCCTCTATCTCCTACCTAACTGTGATCAAATGTAAAAATCTTAAATTAGAGAGATTCTATCCCATCAGCAACAGTGGTGGTGCAAGACGTATCTACAGTCAACAGCACATCAGACTCTACATTTTCGTTGCAAAATAGCGCCTGTTACAACTACATAAATAAGCTACAGTGTAAAGCTTGATGTGCCGTCGTCTGTAGTACATGGCATAATACATTATGACTTCCCTAGACGTGACGCAAGCAATAGGTCAGCTTCGATAGGATTTCTTAAGGAATGATTGCAGTTAGTACGAACTGCTCGAGCTCTACACAAGTTATTGCATAAGAAATCTCACGACGTCTTCAGTGGACGATGAATTATCATCTCACTAATGTACGAAGCAACAGTCACCAACAATTCAGGACATAGATCGTTACGAAATTATGAAAATATAGCCTATAGGTAAACGCATATAACGCGAGGTAGGTACTTACACGGGTTTTACGAGCGAACAAAGCACTCAGAAAAGTAAAAATTACAAAGGCATGGCAACGCAACATCACTATTTCTGTGTCCATTTAATTACACAGCCAGTAACCGTTTCCAGGGAATTCTGCTCATGAACAAGGGCTCCTTCATTTCGGATCAAACAGATTGTGGCATTGGTACGGATTGACCCAAATACCCTTTGATCTCAGGTCGTTACGATATTTCCATCACGCTGGTTGCTCCGCGACAATATTTATGTTGTGTTAGCTACTGATTTTATCAGAAAATAGCCACTTAAATTCAGTAGTAAAAAGTTTACCTAACCTAGAAGATTTTATGATTTTAAGGCGCCCGCTTTTTGAAGATTGGTCTTGTGTATCTACATTGGAAGAGGCCTACATGTTTAGCAATGAATCGACGATGATTTTATCAGCTATCCAGATTTAATCAGATGATCTTTAAAATGTCAGCATACTTTCAATTTGGTTTCCTAAATTCCTTCTCTGACGTACATTTGACTCGAATGAATCGAAGTATCGAACTAGTGAGTGTTATGCCTTTGGATTGTTTGGAATGAATGAGCGCTTTCCAATAGCTGTCAATGGCGAACATCAAGTCAGTTCCAACCAGATTCTCTCCGAATTCGGGTTAAAAGTACATAAATAAAGAGAGCCTGATTGAAGCTAAATATTTATGCATGCCAGTTGGATACTGTAGCGTCTGTCTGTCTGTCCCACGTTCATCGTCAATAGAGATGGCGTATTAGCATACAATCCAGACTGGCTCAGCAAATGATTGCTTCCCGTCGACAGTTCTGGAATTGTACGCTACGATGATGTATCAACTTAATAAATTCACAACAATAAGTAAGATTGACAATGCCTATCATAATGGTTAGAGTTCCTGACGAAGATACTAAAAGGATTTAGCAGTTAAAATAAATTATGTGTGTAGAGTAGAAGATAAAAATCTCTGTCTTATTTATTGAAGCATATTTTTCTATTGTTTAATGTGAACGCCAGTATCATATTACTTTTCAGAAAGGCACTCATAATACCGTTACAAACTTACGCTTCTGCCTACATGTAGGTAGATAATAGGTACTTAGATCGATGGATACTTCAACAAAGTAAGTAATATCGGCACATGGATCAAGCAATAAGAGCGTGACGTAAGCGAACATATTAAGGCTCGGCTCAGTGAGAGCATAGGGGATAAAGTCGTAACTGTTGCAGTTGGAAAATACGCGCCAGCTGCATCCAATCGCTGTAGATCTTTAGTATCTTTACATTATAGGACAGTTACATCAATTTGAACAATATTACTGAAGGTAGCAACGAGTATCCTACTACTAGCTGTCCCAGCGAACTTCGTACCGCCAATAAAAATTACCATAATTATTATTATGACCTATGAACTATAATATTAAGCGTACCATGCTTAGCTGTAATTTAATTATTTCATAAAGTGAGCCTGCAAAAAATGTTATCTTCCGTAAAAAAATTGTAACGGCCTTTATTTTTAATAAATTCCATTAAGCAGCCTCAGTCTCTATAACATTCCGAAATTAAATAAAACTTCAGCTGCAAAAAGTGAACGTTGGGAAATTAATTTACGGGCAGCCTCCAAAGAATAAAAGCAAAACAGAGAGTGCGCTGAAAATAGCGCGGCGAAGCCACGTGCGGTTAATTGCCGCGGATGGTCCGCGTCCACGGTTTTTACGCGGATTCTCCACGCACTCCGCTAGAGCTGTACGATACTGGTAAAAAAAGAAACGAACCACTTTTTCCTAGGTTATAACATTGTAAGATGTTGCATGAGGTACATAATATGCGGGATACTATTTTCTAAAATTGAATTTTTATAAAAATAATTGAAATAGACACTACTTAACTTATCATAATCAAATTATTGGATTATCTCTTCACAAGGCCCCAACATTAGTACGCTCTCTTTTACCGTTTATCTTTATAACCATATAATCTAGTTTAATTCAACATTGATTTACGCGATAAACAGTGACTTCGCTGGAAATCACTATGATTTATTTATCGATACGATCGGCGCGGTACATCATTACCCTGCGTCAAGTGCTAGTGGAAAACGAAATGGAATCCGTTAACTATGCCATTGAACGTCGGACGCGGCCTCGTTGGCTCTCTCGATATATTTGCATTGGATATGTAACGCAAAATTACTGCTACTTTTTACCAAGTGTTTCGTAGTTCGTCAATAAATAGGTACATCTTGTAACGGGTAACGGACCATTAGTAAATATAACGTACTCGTTGAAAGAACGCGTGAGTAACGGAGCTTCTGAGAGTAATTGTTTTTTAATTTCTATTCAGAGAACCTGCCTACGAATGTATAATGGTAATGCTACTGGCGTATAATCTTTGAATTATTGTTAACCCATTAATTTTAATTATTAATTTGAATTATTGTTATGGGTTAAGCCGTTCAGCGCGGTAAAAAGCCACAATATTTCCGTCTTAAGCCAGGAAGAAACTTTGAACAAATCTCACGAGCAAATGGGCTTATCTTTATTCATGTAGCATTTGTTACGTGCTCAACATCACCCTAGACGTAAGCGATGGCACCTTTGCATTATTTCTGAGCTCTGCATATACGTAATTGTTTATTTAACCACGTTTCTGCTACATAAAATCTCATCGTTTGTTGCGTTTCTCGTAAAATTTTACTGGCGACTTTCGTTTTTGACAGATTGTCGTGATCTTCGCAAAGCCATGATTCGATAACAACGTTTACTGCAAAACAAAATTTTGTACGGTCGTAATTTGTATCATTGGTTGATATTTATTTTTAAATTGATTTACCGGAATTCTCAGATCCATTGCAAGAAGTGGTGGCGGCAAAAAATCGACTGCATTTCTTACGTTTTGCGAATGGGCATGCGTCTATTTATTTTTGGTACTGACACTGTGTTGGTAGAAATTGTCAGCCTTCACCGATTCAGAAGAAGGGTTCCCTCTACATCTTCCATTAGGACGTGGGTACGGAAGGAGGAAATTGACGTCCGTGGCCCGCGCCCGCCCGCGCCCCGTGAAGCGATCCGGGGTAATGTTAATTATAAGATGCATAATATAATGTCCTCTTCATGAGTAATAGGCATTTGTAGAGACAAGTTTCTTAAATGTGCCTTTCAAGGCATATTTGAAGATGTACGAACATAATACTAGGTTATATCAGTTAACTTAAAGATTAAAACCTGTCTCTACATCAACAACATTTCTTCCTTCTTTATTGATTAACTTAGTGGATAACGCAATAAGCAAAACCATGGGGTAATAAAAGTGATGGTTTTAATTCAAAACATTCGTTACAAAAACTTATTATCATAATAATATGTCCAAGGCTGAGAACATTAGTAGAAAACTCTATGCCTTGGCTCTATGCTCATTACCAGTAAGATGAGACGGAAATTAGCATCCGTATGTCTGCATTTAATTTACCAAAGCATTAAAATATCAGGAAGATAATATCTAGGAAGTCATAGAGCGCACAATTAACTGCAGCACGTTTCTTTGTTTCTATGAAATGTTGCTATTATTAAAATTAAACTATAAAAACCGAATAGCCCATTATAGCAGCTTAGTTACAAATACTAATATTTTCTAAACAATGTGAACATTCAATCACACATATCACAATAATAATTATTTACTTCATTATCACAAAAATAATTTTGAATGTCGCATAAAACATGACATGAAACATTCTGCCAATTTCGATCATTAAAATATTATTTATGTTTAACTGTTAAAATAGTATCCTGTTTGAAATGTCAAATGAAATAGATAGTATTATCACTTTTTAGATTATAGAGAGAACAAAGTAACAGAGTATTAATGTTTTAATTTATTATTTTCAGGTATACTATACTGATACTGAGGAGCGAGGAGCCCACTCGGTGCAAAGAAGACTACATCGAGTTTATTCGAGTAAGTTATAATTATTATTCCTTATGACATTTAAATAGTCAAAACAAAATCTGATAATCAGTTATTCATAAACGAAATACTCAATGAAAATAAACTGCAGTTACTTACTACAAAAAACCGGTTTCATATTTCGTCACTTTCGTGCTAATATGGTCGCTTTAATGACTACTATTTCTTTTGACCATTTTATACATACGCGTGTACTCGCTTGCTAAATTAGAAACCACTTTACGACCTAACTGTTATCCGGTATGTACACTCAAATGCATATAAAGTATAAACTACGGTCAGTCAATGCACTTATAAGAATACAGCTGTGTATTAATAATCCCATATCATTTAAAGTGTAGAGAGATCATTCGAACATTGAATTGATGAGACGAAGACTCTTAAACGAGTATGATTAAAGAAGAGTATGCAAAAAGGTATACAAACATTCCTTAAACAAGCAACTGCTCATTTGCATTCTACGTTGTTTCCATTATCTCTCAAAATATTCACACATCTCTTATACTTGTAATGTGCCTTGAAATTTCAGGCACATTGTGAATAAGAAATGAGTTTAATTTCTGTCTCAAAAGCTCTAATATTTAAGTTAAAATGCATGTTAAAAAGTAAAACTGCTCATATTTCTTTGCATTTATTAACGATTTAAATTTAAACATTGATAATCTGTAAAGTGTTACTAAGTACTAGCTTTTGAATAAATAAGTAATAAGTAAGTTTATCATATTTAGCCAGATGGAAATAATTATTGCCCTAGCAGTTAAATTAGTAGTGCACACCGCATATTTTTATCAATAGACCTATCCTCGACTATTTGAAACCAGGTCTAGTTACCCCAATACATGCTTAAAACTACTAGACTTAACAGCTATTCAAATGATCCTACTTACCGCGAAAACGACCGTTGTAAAGGAACATTACTAGGCTGTCTTTGGACATGTTTTAACCGTTTTATACACAGTGTATAACTGTGCACGATAGTGGATCTCTCCACCACACAGCTGACCATTACTCTGAGCACAGCTGTTTTGCATGGCTTACGACTCTGCCTACTTGTGAAATCAATTTTCATAAAGCGTTTCTATTTAGGTATCGTTTCATTTCACGACGTGATTAAAGTTTTGATAAATCAATCAATACTCTACATTCTCTACTTCTTCTAGACATAACTAATATCGGCCTACGAACTTCAGACTATAGGCCGGTATATCTGACATGGTTACTAAACGTGTTCTTTTGTTATTTCCTAATGAAATTGAGAACAAATAGGTACACTTTTTTGAGTCGCAATTAGGAATTGAACGGACTATAGTCCTAAACTCTAACCAATAGGCCACGAAAGTGTTTCTTTGCAAATTGTCGATGGCTTTACGGAAGACGCGCCGACCTAGCCCCAGGATATTGCACTTAGCACGGATCGCCGTCAACATATTAATCAGCGGAAGGTGCAGTGGGTTATGGCCGACCATTGCCGCCAAACTAGGCTCGTCTGCCGGTGGTCGCTGTATACGGCGCACGCGCATACCAGGTTGGATAGCGGAACTGCGTAACTGGACTGCGTTCGGAACAGCGTAAATCGATCACTTATCAATTTACACTAATCGGGAACAAAACATGTAGGAGATAATAGCTTTTTGATGCGTGTTTTAACTCACCACAAAGTGAAGCAACAGTTCGAAAAACGAACTGACGTATCATAGGATGTTTTGCCAATTCTCGCTAGAGCAGTTGCGGACATTGATTTTATTTCTAGGTAGAAATTAAATTACCTCTAAGTTTTAAGTTTTAGACGCCATAGCAGACTCTACTTAATAACGTATGCACGTCCCAGAATTAGAGCTTAAACATTTGACAAATTTCGATCGACTGTGCTATCAACACTCAAGACTCTGAGACAGCGAAATTGATTAACTCCAAACTAAAACTTTTACAATTTGGAGAAACGCCCAACTTTAGACGTTTTAAGTAAGATCGTTTAAACAATCGAGAAGCGTTCTAAATCGATGTCGACTCGTCGTGAAACTTAAGAGGGATTGAACAAAACTAAGTTTGTCAACAAGCATTTTGTTTTGTAAAAGCGTGTTTAGGCGTGGCTAGGGAGAAAGTAAGTAAAGGGCCGCCATCAGAGTGCTTTCTCTCGACTCTGTGACCCGGGAGGCACCTGATACACAATCTGATAGCATGCTAGCTTGTTGCATGCTATTACGGAGTAACGACGCGAGATCGTGAATTCGTGATCCGAACAGGTGATGCGTTTCGCTTGCATTCCGTCTAGACTCTAGCAGCAAAATCGAAATGCAAAACGGTATTGTTACTAAGTATTTATGCTAATGACTTCATTAAAGAACATCTGGGAATTGGACTTGAAACGTATTCATGCTGCAGGATTTTAATGCAGCTGCGAGAAAGGAACTGCAATAACACTACTTTGCATATGCGAAATCATTAGCACCATTATGAAGTCTTGTCTTCAAAAATAACATTTTTAAAAAGCAATACACACTCTTGTGTATTCGCTGGGTGCGAAGTACTAGGTGGGGGGGACATAATCTATCGCAGCGCTCATGGTGGTCAAAAGTAGAAATAATGTTAGCTCTGTCATCAGCCCCCCTAGACAAAACGCACTTTTTGATCGAATCGAAAATCGAATCCGTCAAAACTCCATACAAAAATGGGGCTTTTCGACTGGTTTGCGATTATAATTTGCACTTTGTCTAGACCCCCAGATGTATCTGTCAATGGCAAAGCGATTCTACATAATACATTTTAATATCATTAATTAATCGCATGAAAAGGGTCCTACTGGGAACTTAAATAAAAGAGTGGACTGTATTTCGATAGGGCTGTTTTAATAGCCGTTTACAATTTGGAAATAACTAAACTATACAACGTGGTAGTACAAAAATGAGTCACAGTAGTTGTTGTGCACAGATGTTTGCCTTATGATGAGAGCGTGAATTATTGAACTCTGCCCTTGTTTTGTTCTTAATTCTTCTACATCTCGGACTTGTCCAGCCAATACCAACAACTTTCCTTTAAATACGGTTTGTGGTTGGAATTTGATATTGTAACTCTCACAAACCCGGTCTTCAAAACGATACTCATTTCGATCTGAAAACGATATTTAATTTATTACTAGCGATACAGAAACATTTAAATATATTTACTGTTATATAATGAAACCGTTAAAGTAGCTTTTTCTTTTTGTTTTACTGTAAAACTACAACTATAAATGAAGTAAACAAACCCTGACACAATCAAAATTAAATACACTTTTTGGACTTACCTCATTTGATTTGAATGACCAAAATGATTTCAAAACCTTTTTTCCACCCAAATCGTGGTATCACAACAATTTATTAGTTGAAAATATTTGTAATTTTTTCATTTCGATATTTTTTCACAAATATACGACCTAAATGTCAATGTCACAGAGCCCACAAAGTTGTGGACGCTAGTTGGCGCTGTAATCGTGCACGGAGCCAATAGTTACACACCCTTGCGTTCTGGCCATGTATAGAATGGAAAGACGCTACGTTAACAGCCTATTTGAATTGAACGTCTAGGAAAAATACTCTTTTACGAAACTTTTTTAACGCCTTTGTTCATCAGAAGAATCAATATTAGTTAAGATTTTTATTGTGTAAGAATTTTCGCAGCAATACCAACAAAAAATCAAATCCTTCCTTTTTCCTAATTAAAGTATTATAACTCACGTTTTGTTAAGCAAAATTAGTGAAATACGTGTTTTTACTCTGTATTGAGTCTCTTTTGTCTCTACTCTGTAAAGTAGTTCGTGTGCGATCGTGTTAGTTCGTTGCGCCACCGCTATCTCGGCTAGCAAATCGTAATTTTTCGTCGGCGCTGCACCCCCTTAATGAATGTTGAGAGGTAATTTTTCGATGTAAATTGACACATTCTTAAACAACTTTGCATTGAAAGTATTTAATAGCCATCATACAAATCTGAGATAAAATGAAATCTGCATACGCCATTGACCAGTCATTCGCATTTATTATCCTTATCAGTGACTTAGTTATCAATAACAAGTATGTCATTGGTCTGTCGACATACTAACCCTGCCCTGTCGACTGATATTTTGCAAAAGCGATAAATATTCATGTGAAATATTAGAATACAGACGAAAGATATCTTCAGAAATCTTTAAATATGTTCTGTTACCATTTGGAAAATTACCATAAATAAATTCAGAGAAATCTATCTACCTACTTAATTTAATTTAATAGAGGTGTTAATATCCATGCAAATCTCAAATGTCATCTTTTTATTAAATTCTCATCTTACAATTTTTGACCTTGTTATTCTAAAGACGAAAAAAGTCGTTAGATAATAATAACGGACAGCAAATCTCACATTAGCATTTCTCATTGTTAGCTACGAAAAGTTTAAGTCGGCCGAACAAAACCAAAAGTTGCAATACTAGTTTTTCGAGACGGGTCGAAGGCCCAGTCCCACCGACATTCGAGCCCCACTTGCGATTTATACGACCTCGAATTTGGTAGAAAACTTTCGATGCGTAGTGCAGCTTAAGCAACACGTGCTTAAAGAAATCGGAGCTACCACAAGTTAATAGTTAGTGAAAAACTATAAACACTGCCTACAACAAAACTAATTTTATAAACTTCTTTGATCAAAACGAAAAGTACCCTAATAACTAACTAGAGTACTTTTTTTTTAACAATAAAGCAAACCTTTTACATGCCTCCCAAAAATCTTAGCAGAGGAAAATTCGTCATAGAGCAACGACATCTAGCTAAAGAGTGTAAAAGTAGAGCACAGGTCGAATACATTATCTCGCCATGACATTGTTGTGCGCCTGCGCAAGAGAACGCCGAAACTACCATACAAACAAGGGACAACAAAAACACAATGAGCATTGAAGTTATAGACTTGTGCCACTGTAACATAGAGAAAAGCACGCGTATTTCAAAAAATATTTTCTTACTATGTATTTTGGTAGTAAGGTACTTTGCAAGATACAAAACGCTTGAAAAATTTTTTCTCAAAGACAAATGACTTAAATCCCTTAAAACTGAAGCATCTACACACTTCATTTCACATACCTTGTAAGTATAGCCATTAATGATAGATCGCCCGGTGCTTTGTCCTGCTGGAAGCTCTTCTGGAAGGACTGGTCTTTTGTTCTAAACGTCCTGCCAGAAGATTATCGCAAGTCCTGCCCGCAGTACGCAATTTGTACGTGTTTGCTTGCTGGTCCTTCCAGCAGTACGGTGACCTTCAAATTTGAACTAATCCTCACCAGAGTAGTAAAAACTTGGTTAGTGTTTATTAAATAAAAAGTCATGTCGTAGAATCATTTTGTTTAACCAGTATTTTACTTTTCTTAATATATTATAAACTTGTTTATCTTCTTTCAACTTAACTAATAGGAACTATAATAAGGAACTTTAAATTAATTACTTTGGTACGTCACTTTGTATTAGAAATTACACCTATCACTTACAAATACACTACAAATTAAAAACAAAAACAAGAAATAAATTATAAATGTTTGATTAGGCTGGAATACTTCACATTCATTATAATATTATCGCCAAAATGTTGCCGACTCCACGCCCGGCGCGTCAAATGTGTCGCGCGAGCGCGAACGCGCTGCCCCCGTGTATACTCGTGCGCCATCGGGCTCCGACTAACGGTTAGTCGCGTTTTTCGATCTTGGGCACTATAGGGTGAAAGAGAGAGAAACACTCTATTTTTTCGTGTAAATTTGAAATTTGTACAATGTATACTTACGAAACTGTGATCTTTTAATTTTGCGTCCTACCGGAAGTACTTTAAGTCCTGCTGGCAGGACTCCGGGCGATCTATCGTTAAAATACTCGTGCGAGTCTTTGCCAACCTGTCCACAAAGTGCAACCAATTTATCTTGACCATGCAGCTTATAGCTTACAAATGAGTCGAAAAACACGTCTTTGTTACTCCCAGGTATTGTTATTCGCTGAAAAATGTCGACTGTCACATCAAAGTCCAGACTGGTCGCTTGACACTGTCGACGAGTCGTGCAATTTGCGCGCGATCGCCTCAGGGTCATCGCCCGCGTTCAGAAGATCAAAATTATCCAGGCAAGGTGTACCGCGCAGTTTGCCAGCAGGGATGTCAAAACTTCAATGTCCAAAGTTAAATCGAATCCAACAGGCAACCTCTGAAAAGTTCGCAATTGTTCACAGTTTTTCCAGGTTGCTCGTAGAATTTAATTTTTGAAACGTACGCGAGGTTTCATTTCCATTTCAACGCTTTGTTGAATACAAGGGATCTGTTTTACTCCGTTGCTCTATTTTCTTTCATTTAGTTGTATGAATTAATTTAATATGATGTGTTGTATGAATACAGTGATCAGATTCGTCTAAATCACAATACGTCTGAATCATGATATAGTTATTAGTCTTCTAAAGTTATCACAATCATGCTTAAATTCTTGTATCACCTCCAACAAGCTTTTGATAACCCTTCTGTGCAACAACCCGGCCGGTGCCTCCGTGCAAAAAGTAGTCGACTCGTCTGCCGCGAATAATTATTAAAGGGCGCGAGCGATGGCGACATCTTGTCTCGTCTGAGACCGCCCCTCCCCCCACATTCCCCACCGGGAACCGTTAACTTTTATAAACTTCGCGCTTGTCTAGTGTTTCCTGACTCTACACTTTCAGAGTAGAGCGCGTCTTGATGAAGCGATAAAGTTAGCTTTCATAACTGCAGGTCAGCTTCGGTAACGAGTTAGGTAGACGTTTGGTGAAAATGCACCTCTTATACATAATCGTATAAATAATAAATGGATTTGAGACAAACAAAATAAAACACTTTGTAATTCTTTCTCAGTTAACTTCATTTTATAAGTACCTATCAATAAAACTTCTAAAATTACAAGCATCGATAGATGTTTGGAAGTTGTAATGGGCACATCTGCAACACAGTTTGTGATGACCACTTATAAACAGCATTATCTCTACAAGTGACTATTAATACGAGTCTTGGCCACGACTTGTGGCGCAATGCAGTCGCAACCAGAATAGAATGGGATGCAATAGCTACCTATGCTGGCATTTATACTTTTCATCATATAAAGAAGCTATATTAATTGGATTGTGAAAGATATTTCCATCTTATATTAATTGCAATGCAATATTTTTATGTGCATATTCATACGTAAAAAATAATTCATAATGACACATCAAACAAACCACCGGAACTACAGTTATACAAGTTACACAACACCCACAGTAAATTTATTTCAGTGTTATTAATCAAAAGTATTATCATAAGAGCGTTTTCCATTAAAAATATGATTTCATATTCGTCATATTCCATTGAATGCCTGCGGGAGTCATTCGTTTACAACTTTTTACAACTTGTATGTAATCGTAAATTATTAACATTAGTTTCTTGTTCGTTCCAGGTAAGGGCCAAATGCTCGTGATGGTGCGGTCCGACGACAGTGTCAGATAGCCGCCTCGCACGCAGCATGGGAGCGAATATGGGCAAGAACTCCAGCCTGCTGGACGCGCTGCCCACGGCCCAGGGCACGCTGCACGTCGTCATGCTGGGGCTCGACTCCGCAGGCAAGACCACCGCGCTCTACCGCCTCAAGTTCGACCAGTACCTCAACACCGTCCCCACGATAGGCTTCAACTGCGAGAAAGTTAAAGGCACCATCGGGAAATCTAAGGGCGTCAACTTCCTAGTTTGGGACGTCGGCGGCCAGGAGAAACTCAGGCCGCTCTGGAAGTCCTACACGAGATGCACGGACGGCATCATTTTCGTCCTGGACTCGGTCGACGTCGAAAGGATGGAAGAGGCCAAAATGGAACTGATTCGCACGGCCAAGTCGCCGGACAACACCGGCGTGCCGATACTTGTGCTGGCGAATAAGCAAGACTTACCGGGGGCGAAGGAGCCTCGGGAGCTGGAGAAGCTGCTGGGCTTACACGAGCTGGTGTCGTCCCCGCACGGCTCGCGCGACGCGCACGCGTGGCACGTGCAGCCCGCCTGCGCCATCACCGGCGACGGCCTCCACGAAGGCCTGGAAGCGCTTTACGAGATGATACTCAAGAGGAGAAAATTAGCTAAGTTGCAGAAGAAACGGGTCAGATAAACTGACTTACGCTTTCGTATAACGGTCGAAAACTTTGACCAATTCATTACGGTTTGCGAGTTAAGTATTCAAAATGCTCACGTTGCGGACGTTTTTACGTTCGAGTTTAAAACACCAAAAATTGTTTTTACTATAGATGTATAACGTCTTATGAAAATATTCCATCATAATGTTGCTCAAGTTATACTGAACATTTTGACGGAGATGAATATTTTGATAAAACTAATTTAACTACTAGTCATTTTCTTTTGAAAATAGCTAGGGGAAGGGTGAAGATAATAAGATAACATTTGTTCCATAACCATGTGTTGTTGCTGAAGTAATTTTACTGTGTAATAGCCGGGCTACACGAGGCTAGCTTTCAAACATTAGCTGACTAGGTAGTAACATCTGGCTTGGTGCGAACAGAACTATGAACTTTATTTTTATGTTCATAAGCTTTCAAAATACCAAACAGGAATGCTAAACACAATCCAGAGACCTAAGTAGCTATTTCATGTAATGTCTTTGAAAATTAGCCTCAAGTTACCTAGCCATTAGTGACGTAATTTAAGGAATGGATGGATAAACCTCAGTCTTCAGGAAAGTAGGTTTATTAAATGACAAAACCTTGGCTTAAAATGTTACGTTCAAGAACACAGCTAAGTTTGTCGACCACAATATCCTGTGGGACCATTTAATGATTTTGGGAATCTTCGCGCTAAACATAAGCACGTTGAATGCACTTTATGAACGATCCCTTTGGCTGGCTAAACGTGCGGACTGCGAGTTATAATGACTATGTGTACGTACCTAATAAGTAGATTAGATATAGGTAACACTGGTCCCTACTTCCTGCTCTTGATACCCTTATCTTCATCCTGCTATACTAAACCCTTCTAAACGTCCATACCAAATGTTTCTTGAGTAACAACTTACGACAATTTAGTCTGTAGATTATTTAAATTATTGTGATGTTCTATGTATAACTTTTTAAAGAGGCTTTTAATGTTTGTGTTTGGACGGCTTCTTCGTATGTAAATAATAAGTGTAAATATTCCCTAGAAACAGTTACTTAGTCCACGATGTGTTTTAATGTACTTATAGGTACCTAAAACTTTTCACTGCGCATTTGATTTAATGAAACTAAATGGGCATTTAATTTACTAATTTCTGATTTATATTTCAATTACACTGAGCTATCTGGAATCTTGATCCCTGATTTGTCGTAAAATGCATTCGATGTAACTATTCGTATCAATATTGGAGTCTACTTTTTAAACAGGATTTCCACAAGAAACAAAAGTGATTTGATTTTTATGCTTTATAACTACCAGTACATCGTCAATGCGTTTTATACTGACAGGACATTAATTTATCAGGATGACTTAATACCAGTATCATTTTAACTATTTATTTATTTACTCCTACAGGTATAACATAGTTAATTGTAAGCCGTTGTAATTGTAACGATAAAATTATAAAGCTTTTACCAGAGTTTGTATTACTCACTTTGTAAATATGTAAATTCCAAGTAGTTACTCGTCAATACCATGAAACCAAACATTTTTATGAGTAGTATTGTACATTTTGTTATCATAAAATTAATATGTTCATTTATTATATCAATATGCATAATTATGTTTTATGGAAATAGATAGATGTTTTTCATATGAATTCCCCGTAAATAAAAATCTGTTTTCAATAATAACATGTGTTTTTATATTTACATTTTTTCAGGTATAAACAATTAGTTTTCATCTTCTAGCCTATGTAGATATTTAGCAGGATTGTCCCCTTCAGTCCAATCTGTGAAGAGTGTGAGATACTCGATTTCTGACTCGTCTAAAGGCTTCTGATCTTCATTATGTATTTTAAGTGCTGTAGAATATTGTCTTTTGACCTTTCTTTGAAATTTAGCCCCTTTAATTGGCGGCAGAAACGATTGGACGTGGGTTACAGGTTCATGGGCGCGCATCAAGTCTCGTTCCAATCTATTAAAAGAAAGTAGCTCTCTTGCAGCGTGCCTCGCTTTATTCATTTTCCGACGTTCTGTCTGTATGCATTGAGCAACAGCCCGCTTCACTGCATTGCTATGAATGGCCTCCAAGCGCTTTGAATAATCCATATAAAAGTTTTCTATTGCCCTAGCCATCGTAACTATATCCAAATTCATGGGTTTCTCGGCATATATTCTTTCGTAACAGAACTCAAGATGCACGTTCAGTTTCAAAACATCAGGCGCTCCGACACTTTCGTAAAACAACCCATTGAGTATGGTAAAAAACTTCGTTTCTAATTGCACACACCTTTCAGCACTGAATTCAAGAAGTGTCTCAATTCGCTTTATAAAACTTGCAACTAAAGCACTTTCTTGTTTCATCATATCTTTTAAACACACAATGCCTTCTTTAAGCATCTTTTTATGCGGGGCCAAATGGGTCACGTAAGTAAAATGATGCAACTCCTGTTTCTCGATTCCATCGAATATATTTAGTAGATCGTGTGGATGTTTGAAATACAAAACAGGTTTCACTAAATTACTAAAGCATTCTCTCTGCATTTTGTCGAATATAACTTTGAAAGTTTCTTCTTCGCTTGAACAGCCTAAATCAAAACCCTTGGCTTCGATTTCAACGGACTGCGCGAATTCTCTGTTCTTTGAACGCCAACTAGGTGGAGATAAATAATACAAAAATCTTCCATACTTTTGCTGTACACCATACAAATAGTCTAATCCCATTAGTCTAGATATTATTGTGAATTCTTCAGCAGCTACATTTTGTAGTTCTGAAATCTTTATATTGAGTTTTACTTTCAATTTATCCCATTCGTCAAGAAAATCTTTTGATTTTCTATAATCTTCGGATATAAAGTTATCGAAACATTTAGCTTGCTCCGTGAATCTCTTGAGGCTTAAATCGTACATTTTTAATTCATTTCTGCAGTTTGTCTCAATGTTTAAGATTGCATCATTTCTTGTACCAATCTCTTGCTTTATTCTTACTAGATCTGCGAGGGCAAATTTAAGTGATTTAAAAAGTGGAACACGATCTTTAAGGGATCGCCCATTCACGTAGTTGAAAAATCCTTCATCGACATCAGTAACAGCGTTAACGTCGTCAGGAGGGTATTCAACGTGAAGTCTCTTTTGTAAATCAGTTCTAATAACCTTATATTTTTCGTTATATTTTATTGCTAGTTTTTGCTTATGCTTATCGTGTTCTTGCGTCTTCGTGTAAACTTTGAAAGGCACCAACAATTCATCTCTTTTAAAATGTTTCAACGTCAATGGTTTATCGCCAGTGATCGAGTATTTACGAGATGAATCTTCGTTTGTGTATCTTCTACAGCGCTTTTCCATACTCCGCTTCAAGATTGTGTTAATTTTCACTTGTTTATAGAGACGATCAGCTGATTTTTCACACTCCCGAGGCTTCGGGATAGCAATAGTAACTGATTGGGCATCGTTGTCCATTGTGTAACAAATAAAAATTCCAATTACAAAATAAATGTACAATCAAGGGACCGCAAAAAGTAATAAAAATGCATTGGTAAAGCCATCGAGATTTCGTGAATTATCTAGGTATAGGTATCATTGACTCCGTATTATTGAACAGACCATAAACTAAGTATAATGAATATTTATAATGCGATCGTTACTATTTTGATCCTTTAATAACATAGTTTTCTATAATATAATATTATCCTCAATAACGAATCCAGCGAAATGCCAAAATACCATCTATACAATCGTTATCTATCATTGATAATAAAACAATTTGATGATCACTACAAATCATTACTTCGAATTCGATCCAAAAAGTCGAGTGCTAAACTAATCGATTTAAATAATACTATAAGTTCGTATAGGTACTTACGTAATGATGATTAACAGAAGCTAGTTAGTAAGAAAAATAAAATACAACAATTGATCAGCACAACATTTAATTTAATTTAGTTAAAAATAAACCAAGAACAATGTTAAGGCATAACAGACTTGCGGGGTACCCATTCGAAAGCTGGTTTTACAAATGTATAATACTCTCGTAAATAAGGTCCCGGGTGCATTCCTTCGCACCACTCGGTAAACAACATGAGCCCCTCCCTCTCCTCGGGTGTTAATCTATATTTTCTGGCCCTAGGGCGCTCTCCACTTTCCATTTGCGATTTCCTCCTTTCTGCAACTACCAGTGCGATGCGGCTTTTCTTGTCCAAAAACTTTTTAAACACCGGCCGTTTATACTTCGCCGGGGGCAAGAATGCCTTATTCATGGCATTAGTCATCTCTCTGAACGCTCTTAATTCTCTCTGAGCTTTATACGCATTCCTCATCATCTTCAAATCCTGAGCGAAGAAATCGTTGCGAGCCTGGTTCACAATCTTGAAATCTAATGAATCAAGACGCAAATTATAATCTTCGTACATAACCTCCAAGATTTTCATAGGATCTTGTATACTTTGATGACCCTCCTCACATTTTCCAAATACTTGCTCGTAAACGTATTCTATACAAATTTTCAGTTTCAGTGTACTAGGGCTAGCTACACTGTCATAGAAGCTTTCATTCAATATACGAAAAAACTTATCCTGTAAATGGTTTTCATTGTATGTTTCCCGAGCGATCTCATTATGTATGCTGTCTATGTAATACTGAAAGTAATCCAGTTCTTGTTTTGTGGCTTGCTTCAATTGTTTGATACGTTCCTGCAATATCCTGAACGGAGCGTCTGTTTTAGCAAGTTGTTTTAAATATTCCCGGCTCTGCAGTTCCATTGTGCGGAAAATGTAAATCATTTGATCTGGTTTTTTAAAGTACATGCAGTTAGGTAGTGGTTTTTTGAACTCGACTTTCGCAGCTTCAATTATTTTATCGATTCCCAAAGTTTCAACCAAATCATTGTCAGTTGCAAATTCACCGGCTTCAAATTGAATCGACTGCACTTTTCCTCTGAGAGTCTCGTCGTTTTGTTGTCTCCATAGCAATGGAGCGACAAATATTAAGTATCTACGATATATTTTCAAAATTCCTCTGATGGCATCCAACTTGAATATAATATTATTCATAATCGATAATGTCGATACATAACCGAGAAATTCCGAATTTTTTGCAACTAATTCTGAGTAAACATGTTCAGCTCTTGACACTTTCACACATGCTTTTTTATAGTCCTCCGTTAAGAATTTTTGAAAGTTTTTTATGTGTTGTTTTAGATTTTCAACTATTTGATCAATTTGCTTCGACTCTTCTACCATGCTTTGCTCTATTTTTAATACCAAATCGCGCCTGTATCCAATTTGTTGGCGATTCATGGCGTAGTTTCGAATGTTGTTTGTATAAACTTTTATGTCGTCAAAGCATCTCAAGGGGCGCCCTTCAATGACCGTATAAAATTCTGGATGAATTTCGACCACTGCTCGAACATCGTCGGCTGGTTCTTCCAGAAAAAGTCGCTTGGAAATGTCCCTCGTTGCTGCTATTCTCAAATTATCTTTCAGGTGTAGAGGTTGTGCTAATCTTTCCCTCGCACATAGCTTTTCTTTGCGATCGCTATATTTTATGTACGATAATAATTTCTCCGACCGTGGAACCTGAAAGGGTCTAGTTCGTTTTGCTTTCGTTATTTCTTGGGTAACGGCGTGTTTTCTATTGGCAAAATAAAATTGTGTGTTTGGTACATAACGCCGTCGAAATATTACATCTAAAGTTTTCAAAGGCACCATAGGTTTACGTTTCTTCTCTAAACAAGACATTATAAAGAAATAACTAATAACAAGTAATTATTAATTAAAAATATCTAAAAGATCGTTTTACAAAACTCGTGTATGCTTTTAGTGTCAATGTCAGAAGATTTTTTGATAGTTGAAAACTTTCATCCACAGCTTTTACACATTTCCGGCTAACAACTTTTTAGTGTAAAATTTTTCACTGCACTTAAAAATACTTTTTATGTTAAACAAAACACGGCGTTATGTTTTGGCAATCTGGAGTTAATTTTTAATTAATAATGAAGCTGCTTTCTTGAAGGTTCAAAGGAAGACTTCATTCTTCTACTCAACTTATCCACATCTCTGAGCAATTTGGCAGCTTCTTTGGCTTGTTTTACTTCCTTATCACTATTTTCATAAGTTTCTTTTTCTATTGCTTTTATAAGGTTTAAATCGAACGCAGATATATCCAACTGTAAGTTGTCGTATTCTGTTTCCAGAGCTAGAGCCATTTCCAATGTACTGAGACCAGTTTCATTTGGTGCAAGCAAGTGTTCATAAGCAAACTCAACGTAATTAAAAATTTGCAACGCCATCTCAGATGAGACTAAATATTGAATTCGTTCTTCTAAAATCCTGTAGAAAATCTCTTTGACTTCAATTTCTCTTATTTCATTCAATTTAATTATCTCTAGTGTCTCCTTAACCTGTAAATAAGTTCCATTATTAATAAAATGTTTGTATTTTCGTAATTTGTTATACTTCATTATTAGGTAGCTACTTAGGTAGGTACTTATGTAGGTAAACTTAACTACTAAAACTAAACTAAATTATAATACTTACTTTTTCCTCTATGAAGCTTAATTCCTGTTTTAACAATAGCTTCAAACTGTCCAACGCCTTCAGAAATTTATTTTTTTCCACAGTGAGTTCTTCGGTTACAAGCAAATAATTCAGATTTTGTTTCTCTAGTGCCCCGAACACTTTGAGCAGTTGATCAGGCTGCTCGAAATACAACTGGGGAGGCGGCAGTTGGCTTAATCTTTCTTTTACTAAATCAATATCAACTTTCGTAAAAATATTTGAATTCATCAAACAGATTTCAGTACGATTTTCATCCAGTTTTATTTTATTTTTTTCTTGCCACAAATAAGGAGATGCTTTGTACAGGAAAGTCTGGAACGACAGCAAAATTGATAATGTCTCGTCGATGTATTGCAGTTTTGATCTGATTGTGGCCAATTCGAAGTTAGCTTTTTTTTGTTCCTCAGTTTGATTTGCCAAATCCTTTGCCATTGTATCGGACTTCTTCATAACAGCAATAGTTTTATTATTGTCATGTGCTAAAAACTTATCAAAACTATTTTGATACTCGTCGAAATGTTTCGAGGCCGTTTCATAAATTGTTCTTTCCATTTCAATTTCTTTGTCTATTCTGAGAATTTCGTCTACAAGAAAACCGTGAACGGTCCTTTTCATTGCCACTTCTTTTATGTTTTGCTTGTATTTGTGTATAGAGTTGTTGGGTCTAATGGGTCGACCCTCCACCAGGGAATAGAAGCTTGGATCAACATCGACGATAGTTTTTATATCACTGTCACCGATTCGCTCAATTGGTGGTAATTTAATACCAGCTATTGTTTTTCTTGTTGTTCTTTTAATCCGCTTTTTCTTTTTAGCGATATCCATCGCTCACTTCGCGAAAGAACTTTGCGGTGCAGGGAAATGAAACAAATCAATATCACTATAGCAACAACTGTATCGCTTGTGTAGAAATGACTCGTCTAGGAAATTAGATAAGAGCAATAAAAGCAAGGTTAAATAAAGTACAAACCTTATTTATTCACGGAACCAAATTACCTAATCTTAAAACAGAATATAAAATGCGCGGTAAAAATGACTAGATATCCCGTTGTGGATTACATTAAGGAAATTTAAACAAACTGTGCATTTCTGATTAAAAGAAATGGTTTTGCGATGTATAACTACTTAGCCTACTTTAAGAACATTTTATAACACGATTTAAGTAAGATAGGCGTCGATCGTCTCTATCAATCGCTGGAATCGCTAGCACTTTGCTGGTCATCCCTTTCTTCCTCTTCGCCTTCCTTCTCCACCTTGACCAGCTCCCACGGCATGACCGGCAGGGGCTCGACGAAGGAGTCGTCCACTTTCAGCTTGTATAGCAGCCGGGGTGTAAAGTGGGTCGGTAGTGGCCAGACCATTTCTGCAGATTCAAGGAAAATGTTCAATAAGTATAGGCTGCTAAAATTTTTGAAGACTCTTTTACACGCCTCGCCACTTGATAAATCTGTCTGAACATTAATGTACTTATTGGAATATAAATATATGAAAAAGCAACGTAAAAGTTAGGGTTAGTTCGCAGGTGAGTTTTTAGCTCTTTAATAAAAATTGTCGTGTAGCTACTAATCTCAAACTTCTACTATCTACATACATACATATAAACATTACTTAGTTAAATATAGGTTGTTAGGTATTTTATTTTAGCGAAGAAGAAACTGCACGATCCCCTAAATCTACGACAAATTGTAATGTAACCACGTTCAATAAGGTGAGTCTACCTAACATGCCACTTATATGGTCTTAATGTTCGCCCAGCAAGAAGAAAATAGGTACTAAAGTAGGTACCTACTTATGTATACTTACTGAAATCTTAAAATCTAAAAAATATAAATTCCAAAGCACAAAGACCTACCAATTACGGTACCGCTGGCAGACATTACGGTAACATAAAGCCTAGACGTGCTAATGTAATGAGGTGTAATGTACTTTACGTGCTCTCATTTCAATAGTCGTGACACTCGTGACTCACCGAAATAGAAGACGTAGTCGTCGACCCGCCGGTGTAAGTGTACGACGTGGCGGAGGTCAAGGATGTGAGGGGACTGCATCAGGAAGTCCAGTAGGGCCACTTCTGGGAGCCCTTCCATCTTAGGGTCTACTGCGCTTAGCCCTTCGAATGAGAGCTGTAAAATACAAATACTATTTATGCTCAATAGAAGATATAGTCGTTGACCTGCCGGTGTAAGTGTACGACGTGGCGGGGGTCAAGGATGTGAGGGGACTGCATCAGGAAGTCTAGTAGGGCCACCTCTGGGAGCCCTTCTATCTTTGGGTCTACTGTGCTTAGCCCTTCGAATGACAGCTGTCATAGACAAATGTTTTTCTAATAACTATGAAAGTTGGCTGGGAGAGAATTCCATATGGCATTAAGTTCGCTTTAAGGATTCTGTTCTACAATGTGTAAAATTAATTACGCGATTATCGCTGTAAGATACAAAATGATAAGGGTTAATGACGATTGTCATTTAAGAGCTTTCATTTAGTAGTTATTAGTTACTATACAAATATACCAATGAAATGTAACAACCCCCTGTAACCAAACTCTGTACAATGATAAGTTTGAATGAAAATATCCTACGTTTACCAAAAATGTGTAACTCCTCACAACATTCCTTCTAACTGGGGCAAACTAAGCGATTCCCTATGGAAAACTTTAACGCCAGAAAACTTTTTATTCAGGAAAAAACCTTATGTTTATATTTTGGTGACAGAAAAACGAATTGGAAGCCTTGAAGAAAGCGGAATCTTACCGAAGAGACCTAGGTAGTTAAATAAAAAAATTAAAGTGTAACAAGCTGCACATTCTTTAAAATGAAATTTTCACACTGGCACCTCTCTGCAGTCTGCATGACCCAAAAGTGAACTGACGGAGAATGCCTTTTAGCATTAATTCCATCTTTGTATCAGTTTTTGTTCAATCAAGTTTTTAAATAAATAAAATATTTTTAATAGAACTTACGTGCTCTTCAGACCTCGCCAGCTCACAAAGCTTGTTGAGTTTGTTGATGCAGATCCGCAACTGCTCCATGTGTTCTGCCAAGGGTCCGTAGACGTCCAGCCTGCCAACGAGCGACGGGGGCCTTGCCGTGACCGCTCGCCAATCGTCAAACCACAGCTGTTCAAAAACACGGCTAATTACTCATAATTAAGGTTCATATTCCGTTTGGAAGATATTCACGGCATAATCATGACGAGCATGCAAACATAACAAGGAAAAATAACTCCTGAATTAGTGCAACTCTATTATTTCATTTTCTGAATGTAAATCTTTTAGCGCGAACTCTACCTACGTGAAAACTTTATCCTTAAAAACACGATTATTTGCCTGAAAATTCATTGTCATTTTTTTTTTTTTTTTGCTTTTGCTTTACCCGCGTTGAGGCAGATACCTAGTTATTCTACCTCTAAGCAGGTAAAGCAAAATTAAGAAATGTCTCTGCCATAACATAGTGTCGATGGCCTCGTGACGCAGCGCTAATTTCACTTAAGTTTAAGGACACTGTGGGTATGGAATGGTAAACCATCAGCATTTTGAGGCGTTTCAACATCTTCCTGTCCGGCTAAGGCTGCGGCTCCTCCATCTCACAGGGCTCGCCCTCGGCCAAAGCCTCCTCCACTGCCTTCGCGTACGCGATGTAGTATCGTGGTCGATGGTCTCGTGACGCAACGCTAATTTCACAAAACTTCAAAAACTTACAGTGGTTATGGAATGGTAAACCATCAGCATTTTGAGGCGTTTGAACATCTTCCTGTCCGGCTGGGGCTGTGGTTCCTCCATCTCACAGGGCTCGCCCTCGCCCAAAGCCTCCTCCACTGCCTTCGCGTACGCGATATAGTGTCGTGGTCGATGGTCTCGTGACGCAGCGCTAATTTCACTTAAGTTCAAAGACTTACCGTGGTTATGGAATGGTAAACCATCAGCATTTTGAGGCGTTTGAACATCTTCCTGTCCGGCTGGGGCTGTGGTTCCTCCATCTCACAGGGCTCGCCCTCGCCCAAAGCCTCCTCCACTGCCTTCGCGTACGCGATGTAGTATCGTGGTCGATGGTCTCGTGACGCAACGCTAATTTCACAAAACTTCAAAAACTTACAGTGGTTATGGAATGGTAAACCATCAGCATCTTGAGGCGTTTGAACATCTTCCTGTCCGGCTGAGGCTGCGGCTCCTCCATCTCACAGGGCTCGCCCTCGGCCAAAGCCTCCTCCACCGCCTTGGCATACGCGATGGCCGCCTCCTTGTCAAGACGATTCATGTGCTCTATCCACTCCGGCTCCTTTTGGAATAGGAACCGCAACTGCCTGTGGACTGTGTCCTCGGAACCCTAGATTTGAAGATAGGATATGGCTATATTATGAATGTAACCGTATGTGATGGCAGTAAAGTAAGACTGATTTATTTAAAACCTAGGTAACTAATTTGCGATCCGGAACTACCAGAAGTTAGTATATGTATCAGTTATTTATTTACAAAACCTATAATGTAATAAAATATCGGAAACGTAGTGAGGGCAGGCCTCATACTAGATGGACCGACGATCTGGTGAAGGTCGCGGGACGTGCCTGGATGCGGTATGGCGGCTGGATCTTTGTGGAAATCCTTGGGGTAAGCCTTTGTCCAGCAGTCACGTCATTCGGCTGAAACGAACAAATAAAATATCGATAGGTAATTATGTCTACCTACTTACCTATTAGTCTACTTAATACATGCTATGGAAAGCTAGATAACTTGCCTACATAACCGCTTTTTAAATGATATAAAACAGATTCAACAAACCTCAATAATGTGTACGAAGTAGCTATCATACACGAGCAGTAGACCGGTCACATTTATCTCGCAATAGCTAGAGTTCACATCCGAAATAGTCCGTCGAACCTGATTGATAAAATCGTCTTTGGCCAACATGTGCTCCCCAGCATAGATCATACGAATGGCATACGCTTTCTGTAACGAACCAATTTGAATATGAAACTGTTTTGTGTGCAACTCAACGCATGGCCGTTTGGTTCCGCCAGAGCAGAATGGGACCACGCCCTCTTCCCGTGGATTTAGTAAGAGGCGAAAGGGAGAAATAAGTAGGTAGGTATGCGAACATAAGATCTCCCCAACCCAACGCGTCTGCCCCTATCGTCTGTGCTATCGTGGTGAGTATTGACCAAATATTGTATGTAGGCCTGCAGTGGAGACCAAATAGTGACGATGATATTTCATGGGGTCTAAGAACCAAAGCAAACGTTTTTACTTGTGTAGGTAAGTAAACCTAGAAGTTAAGCATAAAAATAATAATTGGATACTAACCAAGCCAACCTTTTGAAAATTTTCCTCAACAACATCCAGTACGGACCGAACATCGAGGTCCGGTAGAGCCATTACAGCAATATTTTTCTTCAATTATTAATGCAAATAAATTCATTTGGTTTGTTATGAAAATCACAGACAGTGACGCTCGGTTACGTCAATCCATCGCCATGGCAACCAATCCCTAGATGGGTCATTCCACAAAAATATGTCAACTCTTAGTCCGCGCCACATTTCACATGGAATATTTGTTAATATTTTATTCCTAAATCGTTAAAATAACAGCTCGCAATGTGTTTTATTCATCACCCATTTTTATATTTTTAAAACTATTTTTAAAACATCTTAAATTCCTTTTAAATGACCCAAAACGTCATTCCCTAGGCGTGTCCGTACTCCAAAAGTTTGTGTTTTGGAACCCGTATTTACAGAAACATCAACTTGATCCTTTGTTTTAATTAACGAATAATCTATTTAAACGTATGTTACACCAATTTCCATTAATATTTTGCGGTTTCAATAAACAATAATTTGATTTTCTCAAGTTGAAAAAGAGTCCACAGCTTTTAGCGTCATTCCCTCGCCACCCACTGATTTTATAATTTTGCGCTTTATTATGTATTTAGAGTGAATGCCATTTAGTTGAGTTTAAACTACGATACGAAGTTATCCTCATACCATACTGGCTTTGCGGTAGCCGTTTTTTGAATTAGTGCAAACGTGCCAGTTGTTGCGGAAACATGTCTTGATTCAGTCACTTCGTCAGTTCCTAGTTGAGTAGCTTTATTGATTACAATAGGAAATTGTATATAATTTAATAGTATTTATGTGTGGTTTTTCGGCTATTTTCGGCTCATCGTATTAAGCATCTTATAATATAAAGTTAATCTGCATTTTTGTTAAGTTTTTCTCCAAATCGTCAGTCCCTAGACCGTCAGGCCCTAGCTTTAAACGGCGCTAAGGACTAAGTTACTAGTTAGAGAGTGACGTTTTTTATATAGTGATTATAACAAAACATCTACATTAAGTATATTAACTTATCTATAAATGTTAAGGTTATAAGTTTTATACTTTATTAAAAGTCATATAGTACTAATGTAGTATGAAAAAATTTAAAATTTTAATTTCTCCTAAAATAAGGCATAAAGTGACTGGCCCTTTTAGACATAACATAATTAATAAATAAACTATAATTTACACTAATAAAGTATTCAAAAGCATCTTAAAGAAGTTTAGGACAAAATGACGTCGAAAATATACAGATTTCTATGGAATGACCCAGATAGGCAAAGGCATTGATTTTTAAAAAGTTAACTTCTCCATACTTCTAGGCCACGCTTCTTTTCGTTACGCTCTTGGCAGAGCGGTCGTGGTCACGTTGAGGCGTTGCGTTGTTCACATCGGTTGTAGAGGCGGATACAACTCTCCGCACGATCTCCCGCCATCTCTCTATTGGCAGACTGTCTGGTGGTGTAGTCACATTCACATACCTAGGGTAGCCCAGGGGATAGAACAGCCCCCCTAGACAAAACGCACTTTTTGATCGAATCGAAAATCGAATCCGTCAAAACTCCATACAAAAAATGGGCTTTTCGACCACTTTGCGACTAATTTGCGATTATAATTTGCACTTTGTCTAGACCCACTGATCTGAGCCCCGATTACGGTAACTTTTAACGTCAACAATCCAGACACGCTTCTCGATTGTGCGATACGATTGGTCAAAACAGCTGGTACGCTGTTGAACGACCAATCGTATCGCAGAATCGAGAAGCGTGTCTGGATTGTTGACGTTAAAAGTTACCGTAATCGGGGCTCAGAAGGCCTAAGATGTGCGCCGTGATAAGCGGTTATCACGCCATTTTATCGATTTTACCCATACATTTTGACGTCGATAAAAGTTATCACGGCGCGCATCTTAAGCCTACAGGGAAGATAATATTAAATAATACAGCCAGTCTACAAGTCAAAATGTTTATTGAATAACATATGGCTAGATAGATCTCTAGATCTGTGGTATTTTGGTCAAATAGGCAAATCATAGTTTAATATCATCACCATTGAAATATTATAATAATTTTATAATTATATAAAAACGTTAACACATAAACATAATGATTTTAGACCGCTATTGTTATGGTTCTCTAATGTGCATTGATTTATCTGGAGTACCAGTTCCAATTATTGGCTAAAGTTGGTACTTACAGATCCTTAGTAGGTATTTAATGAACTTGATTGACCATTTTATTAGGTACAACAGATTATGATGGGAACAGGTGGTGAATCTAAAATTACTACCTAATTTCATATTACTTAAACAGCCCAGTATTTACAAAGAATAACAGCATTAATTTAAATTACGAGTTTACTAAGTAGTACACAATTTTAACATAAATTAGTAACGGTCATCATATCTATCATTCCTTTTAAACCGATTGAACCTTCTGTTTGTATTCCAACCATACTGCTTAGGCTTGTATTTCATTTCTCTATTATTTGTCTTTGACATATCAAAACTGCGAGCCATGTTTTCTAATTCCCGTGGAACTTCCTGAAAAGTAAATAAAAGTAAATATTTTACTCAATTTTCCTAACAGTATAGGAGAATTTAAGAACAAAGTAAACATGTTTTTATCTATTTACCTGATTTGCTTCTCTTAAAACTGCAATCAGATTTTTGGCTTGACGATCATCTTCATATGTCAGTATAGTGTGGGACACTCCTTTGTTTTGCTGTCTACCAGTCCTACCAATTCTGTGGATGTAGTCTTCAGAAGTATTTGGGAAGTCAAAATTGATAACATGTGTGACTCCATCAACATCTGGAAATAAAATAATAGACACGACTTTAATTCGAAGCTTTTCAATTCAGATAATGAATTGTAACAATTACAATTAAAAATAAATACCATATTACGAAGAAGAAGAAGAGAAGTGTAGTATTTAATGTTTGCTTACCTAGTCCACGAGCAGCTACGTCGGTGGCCACAAGAATGTTTGTTTTGCCATGTTTGAATTTATTTATGATTGTATCTCTTTGAAGCTGTGTCTTGTCGCCATGGATACCCACTGCTGGCCACCCATTTCTTCGGAGCATCATACTCAACATGTCCACAAACTTTTTTGTGTTTGTAAAAACCAGTATTTTACCAAAACCATCACCTGACAAGTTATGCATTATTGATTTGAACCTGGAAATGTACACTTTATGTAAATGAAGGAAATATAATAAATTGTATACTCTCACCAATAATTCACATAAATTAGTGTTTGTTTTTAATTAATGATTTATCTGAAAAACTTACTTGTCCATTTTTTCTTCTTGGTCACAAATATGTACATGCTGCGTTATATTGTGGTTTGCTGACAACTCTGTAGAACCAACATTGACCTGAACAAACTTGCCTAAATAATCTCTGGCCAAATGTTGGACTTCTTTGGGCCACGTTGCTGAGAACATCAGGATCTGTCTCTCAGATGGTACTCCCTCCAGGGCCTGCCTGATTTGAGGCTCAAATCCCATGTCCAACATCCTGTCTGCTTCATCCAACACAACGTATGTGCATCTATTCAGAGTTGTTGTCCTGCTCATAAGAAAATCATTCAATCTTCCTGGAGTGGCAATCACTAAATCTACACCAGATTCAAGTATCTGGGCCTGTGTACTCCTATTCGCTCCACCATATATGCAAGCGCATCTGATTCCTAATAACTTTTGGAAGTCTTTAGCCACTACTTCAATCTGGCGAGCCAATTCCCTAGTAGGAGCCAGAACTAAAACTCTCGGCCCTCTACCCTTTTTTGCCACATTTTCTTTTATATGAACAACTGCGGGTAGCAAATATGCCAGGGTCTTCCCAGTGCCTGTCTGTGCAATGCCAACAAAGTTTTGGCCACTTAGTGCTATTGGCCACGCTTGTGATTGAATAACTGTGGGCTTTTCAAAACCTTGTGATTTTAAAAAGTTTTTAATATAATCAGGAAAATCACTCTTCTCAATATCCAAGTAAGGATTGGGTATATCTTTTCCAATAATAGTTATATTGTGTTCATTACGATAAACATCAATGTCTTTCTGCTCAACAGCTTCTATAGAATAAAATCTGTGACTAAAACTTTGCAATTTTGTTTGTGTGAATTTCTGAGTCAGACAACATGTGCTAACAGAAGGTTTGCTGACTGTGTTGATCAAACTTAGTTCTGTTGTAAACTGTTTAACATCATAGTAGAATCTGCAAATGGAATAGGTAATTAATTAGCAAGTGCAGTGGTAGCATTTTACTGTGTATGTAACTGTATGTACATAATACTTACAGCTTTGAAAGATCCTTCCGCCTTAAAAGTTTTCCAACCACATTTAACGCCATTGCTCGTCTTTATGAATTTGAATATATTTTCAATGATTTATGTAAGCATAAAATCAAAATTATTTGAGGTTATCTTCTGAAGCGATAATACCTACTAAAATTATTTAAAGTAACTTATAACCACTACGAATCTTTTATGAATTAGGTTGGATAAAGCAATGCTAATTATTTTCGTGTGATAATTTGTCACAAATAAATTACAAACCCACATGTAACAATCCTCAAAAGCCTGTGCTCAAATTAAATTGGCTCAAATCTGTCAAACTGTCAATCTTTCTCATCTGTCAGTGTCATTCAATAGCTTTTTTTTTAAATGGGTCACCATCAAGAAGCTACAGATAAAAATGGAGGCCACACTCCGTATACCTACTTGAAGCACAAACTAAGTATCACTATCTCGCTCTCTGTGGGCAGACTCGCTCTTTCTAAATAAACAAAAAATATAAAATTGCTCAAATTCAATAAAACCAATGTAAAATCTTTATTTCTTGACATAGGTATCATTAAAAATGATAAGTGTAATTACGTAAAACGTTTTAGGAAGAAATTACTGTAAAAAATGTTTACAATGATCCAATGTCGGAAATCACGAAATAAACACTTACGCGTGGAATCTTATGTCACTTCCAGGACACCACGTACTACCGCAACCACGCACTACAAAATTTTGCACCAATTCTTGTGATAAAACAATGATTATTTCCTGTAAACAATCTCAAACGAAATTAACTGCTTAATAAACAAAATAGTAAACAACCGCCATGATGGGCCGGATTGGGCCGATGTTGCCACATGGTACCGATTACCCAGGAATTGGGATTGTAATTCCCTGATTCGCCAACACATTAAGCCTAAATGGCCGACAATTTTGTGATTTTTTATTTAACTAGGNCCACATGGTACCGATTACCCAGGAATTGGGATTGTAATTCCCTGATTCGCCAACACATTAAGCCTAAATGGCCGACAATTTTGTGATTTTTTTATTTAACTAGGTAATCTTAGTTTCAAATATTAATTATTTATTTGTTTAACTTCTAATTTGGTTAGTGAATTGGCTATTTCGAAGAATTTACAAGGAGATTTAAATCAGAAGATAGCAATACTACAGTTCACACTAAAAAGAGAGGTAGGGCCGCAGAGAGCGAGATAGATATAAGTAGGTATTTGACTCAAGTTTTTGTTCCAACTCTGCCCTCCATTTTTACCTTTAGCTTCATGGTCACCATGGCTGCTGCATCAAGCAAAAGTCACTATCATTTCTTCTTCTTCATCTTCTTCTTTGTTCTTGGCAATACTCGTCGAGGCCGACTTGATTTGTGCCAGTCACTATCATTTTTCAAAATACACAAAAGCGCGTTCATGTTAGCGTTCATGTCGCTACAAAAATTACAATCCATTGCAACAATGAGGGCTATTGTTTTAGCGCTCACCAGTTGGCGCCACCAGAGTAAGGTCCTGTCACTTGCTAGTAGCGAAGACAGTGGCGCCAGCTGGTGAGCCCGAAAGTGGTAGGAGGACTATCGCATTTGCACTCATCAAGATGGCGCCACTGTAGAGTAAGGTCCTGTCAATCGCCAGGGGTGCCAACTGTTAGGTAAAAAAACGATAGCCCTCATTGCAATCTCTTGTTTATTTTGTCCTATGTATTACTTTTCTCTATGATTTTGTCGTTGGTGGAAAACAGAGAGAGTGGAAAACGCATCATGTCATCATGTCCAATCGTAGTGTCCAACATTTTTTATGCCTTTTTCACGCCTTAAAAATATATTTAGAGTAGGTAACTTATTATTATTCTGTGGTAGGACTTAAATTATAAGAAATCTGAGCCCCGATTATTTTATTATTATTTATTATTTTAACGTCTACAATCCAGACACTCTTCTCGATTCTGCGATACCTGTGGGTCTCAGCTCTCTGGTGGGTCTAGACAAAGTGCAAATTTTAATCGCAAACCAGTCGAAAAGTGGTCGCAAAGCCAAAGCCCCTTTTTTGTATGGAGTTTTGACGGATTCGATTTTCGATTCGATCAAAAAGTGCGTTTTGTCTAGGGGGGCTTGATTGTTGACGTTAAAAATTACCGTAATCGGGGCCATTGAAGTAATATTACTACGTATAGAACAGACATCGCGAACAAAATATGTACAGTGCGGGATGCGGGGCGGGAATTTGATGGACAGCTGTCAGTCAAATCCATGACTATCAAGTTTCATAATTTATGGCGATAAAATCTGCACCAGAAAATGTCGTACTTCATTGATAGGATTGCGCGAATAGTGACGTTCCTGCGGTCGCCTCATCATAGAAATTGTGAAACGATTGTGAAAATAAACATATCGGCTAAATTGTGTTAAATTTTCATGGTGCTCAATAGCAAAAAGGTTCAGCTACAAACGTAGCAGTTGAAACATTCGAAATCACTTCGCTCTGCCGTTTTTTGGTGTTAGTTACTTCACTCTGTGATGCGATTTTAAAATTACAACTGGCGATTCCGAATTCACAACTGAGGGGACTGAGGCTAATCGTGTTACTTGTGCTACAAGTGCGTATGGGCTTCATACTGATNAAATTTCATGGTTCATGTTCAAAAAAACGATTCCTAAAAAGTAATGGTTCTGTTTCTTTAAATTAAAAACCATTAATTTATTTATTAATGCGTTAATTAAAGTCAATAATCGAAAAATATAGTTGATTTTTGTGATGTTTTTAATAACTAAGTATTCACTGCAATCGATTAATGAACTGCGGAAATAATCGATTTTATTATACAAGAAATACCCCAGCACTAAATCTATTCCGTTTCACACATTGCGTACATTAAATAAAAAATATTTTTACATCGTATTTAATTAAAATACAATGAATAGACTCAGATTTTACTATATATTTCAAGACAAGGTAGTTATTTTTTTTTATTATATTGCTAATAAAATACAAATATTTTTTCAAAAATATTCTGCATATGTAGTATGCGTAATATGGATAACCTTGAAGTGTCATACGGATCATCTTACGTGAAAAAGACTATAATTGAATTTCGGTCCGTGGACCTATTTACGTGCCAGAAACAGTCTAGTTGACATGTCTTCTCTAGTACGTAGTACATTATAACTCAATGATCGGGGCTCAGGTATTTTCATTATTGATTTTCATCTAAGAAACATTTTGATATGTCGCAAGCGGAAGGTCGTAGGTTTGAGTCCCGCCTTAGGAAGTTCGATTATTTCAAGTTGTTTATTTTAGAAAACGATAGCTGTATTATTACGCCAATGATAGGGATCATAAAAATAGGTATTGCCTAGTCTAGTGTAAATTAAATTATTAGTATTTATTAATCTGTTCATTCCCTGTCCCTCGATTGGCAGGTAGAGATGGGTTTCCACCCGGGTAAAAACCCACATGAGGGTAAAAACCCAATAAAAACCCGTTTCATTCCACCCGTGGGTGTTTACACCGGGTGAAAACAAATAATTTTATAATTATTTCAATTGGTATCTTTTCTTTATTTTTATTGAATTTTTCTCATTTAAGTTTATTGATTAATAAGTAATAAGTCAAATTTATCGTAAAATTGATCACGTTATGATGATGTGACCAATTATTTTATAAAATGGTGTTATTTCAAGAATCGTTGAACCGATTTAAAAGAAATTTAGTAGGAACACAATAATTTGTGATCATGGCAAGGACATGGAGGGGGGGATGCCAAAGATGCCAAACTCTCTCTTTGATGACATTACGGTATAAAGTTACAAATAACAACACCAACTACAAAGTACTTCTGCTTAAAAACTTGAAATCGACCGCCCTTCCGCCACTGTAACGCATTGTAACGTTTTTCAAGACCTCCTCTCCCCCCAGATTGCATTACGTAACACTAGAACGCCCCCTTAGCAACAAATACCACTTCTCACTTTAAAAAAACGCTATTTTTGTTTTCACCCGCCAGAATGGGTGATAATGGGTAAAAACCGGGTTTTTACCCAAATCACCCAGTTTAAACCCAATCGGGTGAAATGGGTTTTTACCCACTACCCATCTCTATTGGCAGGTGGAGCGGGAATGTTTTTTTTTCCATTCCTCGGTCTGAATGGGATTAAAAAAATCTCGCTCCTCCTACCCAATCCTTTTTCGTCCACTAGGAATAGGTAGGTACTAGGATCAGCCCGAACTCGGCTTATTCCACTATCCCCGTTGACGGTGATTGTCGACGGAAGTTCACTAATCCCCGTTAATGGGGATTAATGAACTTTTTAGTTCATAAATCCCGATTACGTTTCGATCCCCCAGGGGATCCCCGCGAACTCATCTGTTTATCAAGAATCCAAAAAGCAAAAGCTGGAGAAGTCGCCGTATAAACATGATGGACGTTAATGTTTTTTTTTCAATTCTTATGATTATGATGAACAGACGAGTTCACGGGATCCCCTGGGGGATCCCAGTGGACGAAAGGGAAAACCCGTCAACGGGGATTGTGAATGGGGAATAGTGGAAGCCTTTATAAAATCCAACTGCGACTATGGGTAAAGTAGGATCGATCTTAGGGTTTAAAATAGGTAAATGAAAAAAGCGAAGTTTCATTAAAGTAATTTTTATTAGAGAATATCTTATAGAGAACAGTGGAATGACGGTAATAAACAATAGAAATAATTTGAACGGACAATGCTACACAAACTGAAAAATCTACTAAGATAAAACACCCCTTTTTGTCAAGTGTGTAAAGATGAAAGTATGCTATCCACATACACGGACATTTACATTTGTTATGATATTTAGCTAATCCTCACTAGAAACACAGCTTAACAAATTATCACAGTGCAATAAAAAAATACTTAAATATCTTGTATTGGATAAGGCGCAAGAAACCTTCAAATAAATTAACTAACGACAAATCAATACATCCATACAATCAGAAACTACACTTTCACACAAAACAGTACTCCTATGAGGATTCGCTTCTAAATTAATTTAAACCTAGTTATCTGCTAAAATAATTTAATATTCATTGAACCGTTTATGACCGCCGCCACCACCGCCTCCTTGAGGCTTTCCCCTTCCGAAATTGCTTCCGCGCTTAAAGGTGCCGCCACCCCCGCGGCCGCCTCCGAAGCGGCTTCGGTTCCATCCGCCACCGCCGCCGCCGCAACGATCGGCCATTGTTTGCAGTTGAGGGCTCACCACCTTTGAAAAGAAAATAATATTGTAATATTTGGAAAAACGGTAAAAGAAATTAAGACAACAAATTGAACTCTTTAAAACACTGTCACAACATCTGAGGATGGGATCCAGACAAAAGAGTGTGGACACCGAAGGCATGTAGCTGTCATTAATGTACCTCATACTTGCATTCATGTCACGCTATGGAAAAACGTACCCATGCCAAAGGTATGAGGAAAATAAAAATATTAACTATAAAAAAACCAACCTGATTGGCCTCCACGAGTACTGATACGAGGTCTTTGGCTTGGCGAGAGTTTGAGGGCGTGAAAAAGGCATAAGATGTTCCTTTCGTTTTTGAGCGCCCAGTTCTGCCAATACGGTGAATGTAATCCTCGGATGAGTTGGGATAGTCAAAATTTATAACGTATTTGATACCATCCACATCTGAAAGAAACATGTTATTGTAATTCAAATCTACAAGTAAAGTGGAAACAGATTCAAAGCTTAGAACAGATTAAGATGAATAGGAAATCATACTTCGGATCTATTAGTAAAATCTGTTACAAACTTGGAAAATGTAGAAAGCATGATTATCTGAAACCTTAGAACCAATAGATACTTTATGCTGTAACTCATAGCCGTATTACTTACATGAATGAGTTACACAGAGATATCAAACAAATGTCAATATTTGCCTCTCACTCTCACGAACCCTGGAGTCTCATTACGGGCAGGGATAAAATTCTATATTACAATCTTTGCTTTTTCTCATTGCCCATTTGAAAACTCCATTATGGCCGAAACAGAAAACCCTTGACCTCTTGCCAAACATCAAACCGTGGTCAAGTTTTTCAACGATGCACTCCAGGACGATTTCTTATGATAATTTGATTGAATACAAAATTCAGTGCATCACCAGGTTTTCAACTTTCAAGTGTATCCGCGCTATCACGGACATACCATCAAGCTTCCGGCCTCGGGTCCAGTCCAGTGAAAGGCACATTTGAGGCACCGTAAAATGACGAGTTATTGCATTCTCAGTTAAAATACCACTGCATCAGACTAGTGTCTTTTTTATCTACAAATCCAGTGCAGTAATCCAATTAACTTGTCCGTCAATTTAGGACAGTAATCCCATAGAACACAATAACTTTCCGCCAGTGCCTCTGAAAGTATAAACAATTGCATAATAAGTATCACAAATAAAAAATAACTGAAGTTCATAAACACAGATCATAAGTTCTTTACAAACAGAAAAATGTTTTTTTATTAGCCAAGACTCACCAAGTCCTCTGGCTGCAACATCAGTTGCTACAAGAATGCTAGCTCTGCCTTGTTTGAACTGGTACAATGTTTCATCCCTCTCTTGCTGTGTTTTGTCTCCATGCATGCACACTGCAGGCCATCCATACCGTCTGATATTTCTGGTAATATTTTCTACTTTCCTCTTGGTCTCAACAAATATGATAGTTTTGGCACCTGGTTCTTGACTCTGGCCAATTTCTTGAAGCAAAACATTTAACCTGAAAATTGCAATGTGTTAGTAAAATAAATTAAGTAATATCAATTTCAAATAAAAAGATACTGTTCAGATCTTCTTAGAGGATAATTATTATTGGTATAATCAAAAATTACTTCATACTAAAAAATAAATCATCATTGTCTATTCTATAATAATTCTTAAATCTATAAATTAAAAAAGAGATACATACTTGTTTTCCTTCTCATGTTCCTGGCAAATATCTACAATCTGTAGAATATTGTGGTTAGCAGATAATTGAAGTGATCCAATGTTGATCTGAACATAATCTCCTAGGTAATCTTCAGCTAGTTTTCTCACTTCTTTGGGCCAGGTGGCAGACCACATGAGAGTTTGCCTGTCTGGGCGAATTTGGTCTATGATCTTTCTAATTTGAGGTTCGAAACCCATGTCCAACATGCGGTCAGCTTCGTCAAGAACTAAGTATGTGCAACGCTGGAGGTTGGTGGTTCCCTTTTCCAAGAAATCAATTAGTCTTCCAGGTGTTGCAATGACGATTTCTACACCTCTTTCTAAGTCACGCGCCTGCTCCCTCTTCGGTGCCCCACCAAATACGCAAGTATTGCGTACATATGATGCATTACCAAAATCGGTACACACTTGCTGTATTTGTTGCGCCAATTCTCTGGTTGGTGCAAGAACCAGCACAATAGGCCCATCTCCGCGCCGGATTGGTTGCTGGTTGTTGATGTGAACAATGGCAGGTAGAATGTAAGCCAAAGTCTTACCAGAACCAGTCTGGGCAATTCCGACTAAGTTCTTCCCTGACATGGCAATAGGCCAGCCTTGTGCCTGAATAGGAGTGGGTTCTTTATAACCCATGCTTTTGATGCCATTCATGACGTAATCAGGGAAATTGCCTTCTTCAAATTGCTGAATAGGATTGGGGACTTCTACACCACTAACGGTGATTTCATGTTGATTTCTGTACCCTTCCACATCATAGGGTGATCTGTTGAGTACTGAAGGATGTGGATTATAAAAATTCTTGTTGAATGGTTGTAAGGTGAGGTCTTCCCAGTTGGGGCGGCGCATGTTCTGGCCTCCGGTGAACTCCTTCCTGCCCCCGCCGCCGTATCCGCCGCCACCGCCGCCGAAGCGGCCACCACCACCGCCACCCCCAAACTTCGAGCCTCCATTGCTAAATCTCGAAGAGCCATTGCTGCTCCCGAATTTACTACCACCGCCAAACTTGGAACCGCCGCTACCACGGCTATTATTCCAACTTCCAGACCTATGAACAAAAATTTCAACATCAAGTAAAATTCTAGAAACCTAAATCATCTATTACTTTCATGTTAATTTAAAATTAAATATTTTTATCATAAATTAATCAATATACTAAAGGTCATTCACAATCAATAACACGTGAGCGCGCGTTAACTCGCGGCATGGCAGCCGACAAATTATTATTAAATACATTGATAAGTAGGTAGGTATTTGTGAGCACGTGTACAACTGTAAATCAGACATGATACAAAACCGGCAAACGTAGACGACAGCTGCTAACGATTATATTGATGATTACAGAAAATACCCTTGACATTGAACAAAGAAAGTAATCTAATGTAACCTACACAGAAAAGCCCTAAATGGACACGTGCAAATCGGACAACACATCACCTGCAAACGTAGGCGACCGACTAAAGCGAAAAAAATCTTTCAAAAACTGTAGAAGTTAGGTAGTACCAAGGTAGTAGTTTCTTGTGCTATGTTGTTTGATGACCTAATTATTTGAGATCGCCTTTGTAGGCATAAAATAAGCTTCCCCTTTCTACCTACTGGCAGTTATTGGAATAGGTTGGGAAATAGACATTGATAAAACGTTTGCCGTAGTCGGGTAAAAATGCCACGGAGTTACGGCAGGCTAAGCAGACATTGACAACGCTAACTGCTCGACCTATAATTAACTACAGTTTGACGCCATTGCGCACGACTAAGTTGGTACGGTTAAAATCAATAACTACACTGCCCCACCTACTCTGATCATGAAGAAATTGATTTTCTTGATATATTAAAATCGCAGATGAATAAATCTTCTAGATATGTAGTTGTTGAACATGTTGGAAAATGAAATGGCTAGTTTTCCGACCTTTTAGACACGTAGGAAATTACCATGAATCACAATTTTACAACACAAGTACTAAAATGCAGACTAAAAATACAGATAGGAATGCAACTAGTAAATATTATAGTGTTTACTTACATAATTTTAGATGTAATTTAACTGGTCCAGGATAAGATGTAACAGGATTTTTATTTTCTAAGCAGGGCCGATCTGAAAGCAAAATGGACGTCACTATGTTTCCTCCCAACACTTTCTACTACACGGATAATACATTTGTGGAGAATTTTAACTAAAACATTGCACACTGTAGCGAAATGTATAATATTACACTTACAGGAAGTTTAAAATTTAACAAATATTACAAAAATTATAAATTTTAACCAATTAATTTTATGAGCACACGTCTCACCTTGACCACTGCTTGTGACAGAAAGAATGAGTTGAACGGGTACCGAATACTGAGCGAAATCAATGAGCGAAATCACAAATGATAAAATGAATGAGAACGAGGGAATGAAACAACTCTTCGTTGTCTATGTGTGTCTAATGTCGTTATAGGTGTACCAGAATCTAATGGCAAACAAAAATATTGGAAAAGTGTGTTTTTCACACAGTTATGGATTAGAGGTTTTTCATATGGCAATTGTCTATGGTTTAACTGTCACCTGTCAAAGAAAATTATGAAATCTGTCAGCCGCTGCAAAATTTTTGTAATCTCTTCTTGACTATTTGTTATTTTTCTGAAAAAGTCGAAAAAGTTCAAGCAAAGCATATTGTTTTCAATGTGAATTGTAAAATAAGGCATAATTCAAAGTCAATCTTTGATTCTAAAGCGCGTCGTCGAGTTGACAGTAAGTTGGACTGAAATGTTTTGATACATTTAGTTTATTACCCAACTGCGTCAGAAGGAGGGTTGGGTTTTTTTATATTATTCTTACTTAATAGCTGCTTTATCGGGGTTTTCAGGTATATCTCACAAATTGGTGCAGATATTATGACCATGTAAAGAAAATTGAAAAAGATTTCATCAAAGCAAGATTGAATAATGAAGAAGTTTCCAATTTTTTTCTTTTAAATAAACCTTGAAATAAATATAAGTAAAACTAATAATAATTGTAAAATAATCATGAAAATATCTCTACAAATAAATAAGTTACAGGGCCCTAAAGTTGCGCATAACTATTCACGCCATTTTGATCGGTGTATTCACGACAGTCATTCGGAGTACAAACAGTAAATCACCCCTGATCCAGCCAGTGCTGTTGACAGGTTATTTTTTTTAAATCTAGCAGTTTTTAATTTTTCAGCTAGGGTCACTCAAGATTCTTTCTTAGTAAAATTTTGTAACCTTTTTTTAAAATATCCCAGACCTGGCCATATACAAAAAGAACGGCACCGCCTATGTTTCAGTTCCACGCGAAAATATGTAGGTAATATAAATAATTTATTTCTCAGACATTTCTTGATCGATTTAAATAAAAACTTCACCGTCTTTTTAGTTTTGGTATATATTTTAATCCCATTCAGCGAAATATAGTGTTTTAACATCAGGAACTTCTCCATTGAAATGCTGGAAGAGCAATTTATTTACAGTACCTCTTTATCTTGATCATCTGTTTATTGAAAAACAAGAAATGCAAGTGGAGTTTTAAGAATCGTTTTCTAGTTCTGAATGAAGTGATAAGTTAGAAGTATGATGCATAATAAAATTAGTTACTTAAAGTAATATACGATTTATTCAATTTCCAAAACATTTACCTATGTTTAAAATCTGATGTCTAACAACATTCTTCATACACATACCTACCTAAAATGTATATTCGTACTTCATGTTCATTAATATTAAAGTAATAAAAGTAAAAAATTAAATAGTATCAAGATCGTTTATTCCAATTTCCCCAGTATTGCTCTCAACAAAGTTTATTTTCCCTATTTGCCATGAGATTCTGGTACATTATAGGTTCAGACACACATACATATACGTAGACAGAGAAACACACTTATCGACATGGAGGTATAGATGACCCACGCTGAACTGTCCCACCAAACTCAATGACAGGGGGGCGCTACCATCGGTCAACTATATGGTTTCCAACATGGCAAAAATCGGAACCAGCGATCCGGTATTGACGGTGGCGCCCCACTGTCAATGTCATGCATAGGACAGTTCAGTATTTTGGAACTATAGTTCCAATTTTTTTCATGTTGGAAACCATATAGTTGAACGATGGTAGCGCCCCCCTGTCATTGAGTTTGGCGGGACAGTTCACCGTGGGTCATCTATATTATTAGAAGTTCTAATATAGTTCCAAAATACTGAACTGTCCTATGCATGATATTGACAGTGGGGCGCCACCATCAATACCGGATCGCTGGTTCCGATTTTTGCCATGTTGGAAACCATAAAGTTGAACAATGGTAGCGCCCCCTCTGTCATTGAGTTTGGTGGGACAGTTCAGCGTGGGTCATCTATACCTCCATGCTTATCGAACATTAAAAAACCTTATGATTAGGCAATGTAAGCATTTTGCAAACTTTATTATTATGCATTAAATTTTATCATTTTTGCATACGGATTTGGGAAGAATAGAACAAAAATAGTAACAACACGATACAACCAATATATTTTTACAAAAGTGTTTCTATCTTTTGCCCGAGGCTTTACCTGCGTGAGTAAATCTTGAGTCTCCAGCGCGTTTTTCCCTATACATACAATCAATCAACAAAAACTTAACAACAATGTTGCAAAGCGAATGAGTGTGGCAAAAAGGCTTGAACCCAGAGCTGTATAACATCATGTAAAAAGAAACAAGTGAGTGAGTAGAGGTTGATGATGAGTGAGTGAAACACAAAGTGAATGAACGATAAACGCGTGTGAAATCCAACTTTTCGTGGTGGGCTGTTTCTGAAATTTTTTAAATATAATCTCATAAACATTTTGTTTCTATTTCGTTATCAGTGTATGTAAAGTAGTGACAATCACGATGGCAATGCAACCACATAGCAAGAAAAGAGTGTGCTATTATTACGACAGTAAGTCATACAAACTTTGTTACCCGCCACTGCTATTCCTGTTATTTCGCATTTCTTTGGAAAATATTGGCAAAAGAACCAACTTGTTTCACTAATTTAAAAGAACTTTATGTTAATTTCGCAAAATTTCACTTTACCGTAATTGCTTTATAATGGTTTTTCCATCTTGGAATTTTTATTTAATTGTGTATCAGGTCACCTTTTAGCGTCTGTACCGTATTCTATGCTCTGATTGGTCGAAAAGCTTTAGTTCGCATCTTGATAACTACACTACAGACTGTTATGTGTCAAGCCTTGAGTCGACCTGAGTAACAACTGGATAAGAAGTCTAAATTGGTTGTTCTATGTAAACAATGTCATTTGGAAATTATTTTCAGGCGATATCGGAAATTACTATTATGGGCAGGGCCACCCCATGAAACCACACCGCATACGTATGACCCATAATTTATTGCTTAATTATGGCCTCTACAGAAAAATGGAGATTTATGTAAGTGTTATTACTAAAAACCTAATTTTATTGTATTGTTTGAATTTTTATATTGAAACTAGCTTTCCGCCCGTGGCTTTGCCCGGGGTTTTCCCGGAAATTATTCGAATTTTTGTCGCCATAAAAACCATCCTTGGACTTCAACGAACATTGAAAAAAAGAATTGGTAAAATTGGTCCTGGCGTTGTGTTACCAACACATTTTGTGTTTGATTTTTATACTTAATATAGATAATTATGAATAAAAATATCAAAATATATTGAAGTAAATAAAGTTGAAACTTGGAACCATAAAATACCATGTAACCAGGCTTCCTTGAATTTGATTAAGTTTAAAATAGTTAGCCAAACAGCAATATATTAACTTCGTAAGTATACCTGTATGGAACGATAAATACTGAACATCACATCAATTTATTACAGAGACCCCATAAGGCAACAGCTGATGAGATGACGAAGTTCCACTCTGATGATTACATTAGGTTTCTTCGCTCCATCAGACCTGACAACATGTCCGAGTATAACAAACAGATGCAGAGGTGTAAGTATTTTTCTCATACATATTATATCAACTATTTAAATATTTTTTACTTCTTTTGTTACTATAATACTTATAATTTTTGTAACTTGGATATCCAAGTGACAACGAAAGAGTGCAGATTTTCAGCAAAAACCAAAAAATATATTTTATCATACAATTTTGTTATTTTATTTACAGTCAATGTTGGTGAGGATTGTCCAGTATTTGACGGGCTATACGAGTTTTGTCAATTATCTGCTGGGGGTTCAGTCGCTGCAGCCGTAAAATTAAATAAGCAGGTGAATATACTGTTGATTACTGTTGTTATTTGTTGATAAACCTCAGATAATCTAACTTCTGTTATGCTAGTATTTTTGGGAAAACATGGATTGATAAAAAATTCTTAATTTTGTTTGATCTCTGTAGAATACGAGTACACAAGCTTATACAGAGAAAATACCATTTTAGTACACAGGTACCAAAATGGTATTTTCTCCGTATAAGCTTAAAATGCTATATTAGATACAGATTTATTATGGCATTTTAAACAGTGTAGTAAAATGGAGTTTTCTCCATATACGCTTAAAATACCATGTTAGAAAATAAAATACCACACAGATGTATAATGGTATTTTAAGGGTTTAGTACAAATAAACATTTTTGTGTTGTAACAAAAAAAATTTGTGTGTAGGCATCAGAAATCTGCATCAACTGGGGCGGTGGTCTCCACCACGCCAAGAAGTCAGAAGCGTCAGGCTTTTGTTACGTGAACGACATCGTTCTGGGAATCCTGGAGTTGCTAAAATACCACCAGAGGGTCCTGTACATTGATATCGACGTGCATCACGGCGATGGAGTTGAGGAAGCGTTTTATACTACAGACAGAGTGATGACTGTATCATTCCACAAATATGGAGAATACTTCCCTGGAACTGGTGAGTTATTGAATAATTTCTCAATTTGTATTTTTCTTTCATCTAACCTTGTGATGGTGACAGTGTTTTGCTGTAGATGAAACGTATTTTAGAGGTTATTAATAGTCACAAGTTTCATGGATAGCCTCAAGCGTTAATAAACTCCCACCAGGATTTTAATCGGTCCATAGTCTGGTCAGCTTCTAATTTGTATAAGGAATTTGCTGATACCAAATCTTCATGTATATGTTCATACTGATTAACAGCCCAACCAAACTGTCAGCCGAAAAAGTATGTAGTCTGCGGGGTGTTTAAGCGAACAAAGATTTATGTTTCTAAGTTTAAATTGTTCTCTACAGGTGACCTGCGAGACATCGGCGCCGGCAAAGGCAAATACTACGCTGTGAACATTCCTCTTCGCGATGGAATGGACGATGAGTCCTATGAGTCTATTTTCGTTCCCATCATATCCAAAGTCATGGAAACCTTCCAGCCTAGTGCCGTGGTCCTGCAGTGCGGTGCTGATTCTCTTACAGGTATCAAAATAATAATTTCTTATTATTATCAAAAATATTATCATTTTTGTAAAGGTGGGTCTTTGAAAACCTTCACATTCTACTATTATTTGACCCATTTAGTGTTGTGAAAATCTATATGATTAAGCATTGTAATAATAGCCACTGGATCGTTAACAAAACATGTTTTCTTGTGTACAGGTGACCGATTGGGATGCTTCAACTTGACAGTACGCGGCCACGGCCGATGCGTGGAATTGGTGAAACGATTTGGCCTGCCATTCCTGCTTGTAGGAGGCGGAGGGTTAGAAAGTTTTAAATTTATATAACCTACATATCATATTGGGCGCTAGAATATTTAGACAAGTTTTAAACATGTTGCTTTAATCTGTTGCATTCGTTTCTCAGCACACACAAATAGTTCTGAAGAAGTGGTCGAAAAACTATTAAAATAGTGTTGATGTAGTTAAAGGAAAGCTGGTTTTAATTCTCGCCTTTTGAAAATGTTTTTGCAATCATTGGATTAGTCTTTAAGACATGGCAATAAAGTTTAAAATAAAACAGGTACACCATCCGCAACGTGTCCCGCTGCTGGACGTACGAGACGTCAGTGGCTTTAGGCGTAGAGATCGCTAACGAGCTGCCCTACAACGACTACTTTGAGTACTTCGGGCCCGACTTCAAGCTGCACATCTCGCCCAGCAACATGTCCAACCAGAACACGCCCGAGTACCTCGACAAGATCAAGACCAGACTGTTCGAGAACCTCAGGATGCTGCCGCACGCGCCCGGCGTACAGGTACACAGCAATATAACCTCTATTACATCAGCCATAAGCTATAAGTCAGCACACGCCCGAGTGCCTCGACAAGATCAAGACCAGACTGTTCGAGAACCTCAGGATGCTGCCACATGCGCCCGGTGTACAGGTACACAGCAATATAACCTCTATTACATCAGCCATAAGCTATAAGTCAGCACACGCCCGAGTGCCTCGACAAGATCAAGACCAGACTGTTCGAGAACCTCAGGATGCTGCCACACGCGCCCGGCGTACAGGTACACAGCAATATAACCTCTATTACATCAGCCATAGCTATAAGTCAGCACACGCCCGAGTGCCTCGACAAGATCAAGACCAGACTGTTCGAGAACCTCAGGATGCTGCCACATGCGCCCGGTGTTCAGGTATGAAGCAATATAGTACTTATTACTACTACATTAGATGCTACAAGTCAGAACACGCCCGAGTACTTCGACAAGATCAAGAATAGATTGTTCGAGAACCTTAGGATGCTTTATGTTATGTTCCCAGTGTTATATTTAATTTGTTTTTAGACAAGTTGTGCTTTGATATCAATTACCTATTTAGATTTTTGGTTTAACTTACGTTTTAATGATATCTATCTGACAATAAAATATTGTTTGTTTCAGGTACAAGCTATCCCTGAAGATGCAGCCAATGATGAATCTGAAGATGAGGACAAAGTTGACAAAGATGAAAGACTACCACAAAGCGAAAAGGTAATGTAAACGTATTGGCTACCTAATTAATCTGAATAGACCATGTAGTTCCGATTAAGACCACGCCTACTTTTCCCGTTGATGTCGTAAGTGGCGACCAAGGCAGAAATATGCGAACATCAAGCCTCCCCAACCCGTCAGGCCAGCGTGGGAAGTGTAGGCCAAATCCTCCATTTGGCTCTAGCAAATTGAGAGTCGCGTTCTTGCAGTTGAAACTTGAAAATTACCCGATGATAATGAAATAACTACTCATATTCGTGGGTTCAATTCCCGCTTTAGGCAGTTCGATTTTTTCAAGTTATTTATAATTTTCAAATTTGTTTGAGATGCGACTCTTAACGCTAAAAATTAAATAACTATAGTCTGGTCCGTGAGCACATAGAATTTTGTCCAATGACCCCAAGCTACCCATCCTTATCGCTCGCGCGTAATTATGTTGCTATCGCGCTCGCACACTCACTGCGGGTGCCAGTCGCACAGTCGCGAAAGCAATATAATTACGCTCGAGCGATAAGGATGGGATAGGACCAAATTCTACGTGCTCACGGACCGGGCTTTACTCATGTTTTTTTATTTGTTAACTTTGGAATTCATTGCAACTCTGTTCATTTGTTCGCACAGGACAAGCGTATCACGGGCGACGGCGAGCTGTCAGACTCGGAGGACGAGGGCGAGGGCCGGCGCGACAGCCGCTCGTACCGCGCGCCGCAGCGCAAGCGCCCGCGCCTCGACAAGGAGCCCGCGCAGCTCAAAGATGAACTTAAAAGTAAGTATACTTAAAAGATAATTTAGCACAGCATATACAGGGTGGAATTTTGAAATGCCACCTGGAGGGAAAGTTCTCTTAATACTGTAGATAGAAAATTTGACTGAAAGAAAACATTCCTTTATTTTTGAAAAGAAAGAGAACTGCTTTTTTCGAAAAGATTTTCGAAATTTTTTCGAAAATTCCCTACCATACCATACCATACAATTTTCTGAAACATAATTAAAATAATTTAAGATTTCATAGTTTTCCTTTCATTTGATTTATCAAGTATGTTAGAGAGATTTCATCCTTATACATAACCCTAACGATCGATGTAATAAAAATACAGGGTGTAATTTTTAACAGATTTTAGTTGGTTAGATTCCCGGTAGTACGAGAGCCCACGACCAAAATTTTTGTCTCATAGCAATACGGCCAAAACCGCATCAAATCGATAGATACGATTATCCTGAACTCGAAAATACCAATATCAGACATTTTCCGCGTAGCGTTTGATCTGACCGAATTTTCAAAATTGTCAAAGAATTTTACCGAACTGCATCATAGCAATATGTCTGATTTGCAGACTGTAGTTGAATGATAGTTCTGAGATACCGGAAACATTATTTTCAGACGTTAGTGGTGTAGCGCAAACCCGTAAAATCACTTAAAAAAATTAAAAATGAGACAAAAAAAATGTCTCATAGCAATACGTCTGAAAATCTTTTTTATTAGTAAATTTTGGTTATTTGATGCGAACAAAACAATTTTCAGACGGAAATGTGAACGCATTAAATTTTGAGACCGTTTTGAAAATGTTAACAAATTTTACCGATCGGTATCATAGCAATATGTCTGAAAATTGTTGGACATGATAAAATAAGTTGTCCACATGTGCAAAAAATTTATATCAGACAAATTAAGTGTAGCACCTTCTCTATCATACAACTTTTTGATACACTTAAAGTGTCTGAAAACAGGTTTTTGGTAATCATGGCAGCAATACGAAAAGTAAAAAAAAATAATTATCCGTATTGCTATGATACAGGTCGGCTAAATTTGTTGACATTTTCAAAAATGCGCACAGGCTATATGCTACGCGCAAAATGTCTGAAAACAAACTGATAGTGAAAATGTACATAGATTTTATAATACAATTATAAAATCTATGTACATTTTCACTATCAGACGTATTGCTATAATACCGACTGTCTTTTTTTTTGACACAGCAGAAATGGCCTCCCACTCAGTTGCTACACTTTCGACCGTTACTACACACCTAGTCGGGTTCAGAATCATACAATCTAACGATTTTATAGGGTTTTTGCCGTATTGCTATGACACATGGTTTTGGTCGTGGGCTCTCGTACTACGGGTGTGGCAAGCAAATTTTTGGAAATCTTTGAATGCAGTTCTATTTCTTTTAAAAAATAAAGGAATGTTTTCTTTGAGAACATTTTTCTATCTACAATATTAAGAGTACTTTCCCTCCAGGTGGCATTACAAAATTCCACCCTGTATTTAGATACTTCATTTAAAGTAATACTACTAGTTGTATTTGTAGTTTCTTCAAGCCTCTCTAACTCACAGCTGGCGTGTCTGCGCAACGTTGCTATTGAAATTGCCCCCCTAGACCAGTTACAAATCGTAAATTTTATTATAACTGTCACGTATTGTAAACTTGTCTAGGGGGACTGTAAAAGTATGTGTTCAGTGGTAGTGTAGCTCAACGCGTGGCAACGACTAAAATTTTATGTAAATGTAATTACTTTTACGTTTGCTGTGCGCTAGATGCATAATCAAAAGTGTGACTAAAGTTTTAGCAGGTATAAAAATATGATCTACGCATAGCAAACACTCAACGCTGAGTTAATTTTAACCAGTGTTTTGTATGGAGTTTGACGGACTTGACGTTTGTTAAAGTAAGATGCAACCCAGGGTTAAAAAGTTATTAACTTTACTGTTCAATTCCAGCTGAAGACTCAAAGGACGACGTGAAGAACGTGAGCAGCGTGGAGGAACCAAAGAAGGAGACCGCGCCCAATCCCTGATGCGGGCGCTGAACGCTGCGCGCGCGCCCCCGACGTAAGCACGCGCCGACAAACAATTAGGCCTGGTTCAGCAAGGCTACTCCGAAACGCTGTTTACGTAGTTTAGGGTCTATCTGTCACCGTCGCTCATGCTGGCATCTCGCTTTGCGTGAGAGGGATGGCAACATTTGAAACTTTGGATAACGTTTTGAGGAGTAACGCGATAACCGCGCGGTTTTTGGGTGATTCTCACTGGCGAGGCACCGCCTCTGCGGTTACAGTTGGATACAGATGTACGAGAATTACCCAGCGACCGCGCGATTATCATAACTAGGGCCATTAACTTCGACTAGTGACGCTAAAGATATTTCATTGAAATAAACAAATATAGTCACGCATGTATCAATCGAGTTGCATGGCGTCACTAGTCGGACTAACACTTTGACGGTAGCGTAATCTTAGTCGGGGACCCAACGATGCGTTTCGAGAATGACATCTCGGTGGTAATTTTGCCATTTTCCAATAATAGTGTGGAGGTGACCATTTTAATTTAAACATCTATTCTATTGCTATTAGAAATAGCAAAATTAGGTGCATTGGAAATTCTGTTGTACCAACTTGTAAACTAAAATTACTTAAAAAAAAGCCTCTCTTTCTCCTGAAATACAGACTTTTTTACTTCAACATTCGAATTCGAAGCAAACTGACTGTGGCCATATTTAATAAAATAAAGTAAATCACTTAGTACCAATACTACCAATTAAGAAGAAGAATCTCCTTTCATAAAAAGAGAAAAAGATAGGTTTTCAGTTTAGTTTCTGGAATAGCAGAATTACAGAATATACACCGTGTTATGGTCTTCTCGGTGATCAGAACTGTGCGTTTTTAGTACCTATTTATATACGTTAAATTTAAAGAATGTGGAGCACAACAGTTTAAAAGTTCTTATTAATAAGGTCAATGATATTGTGCAGGTCAGATATTGATGTTGTTTAAGTATTTAAACTTTGAAACAGCTTAGTTTGCCTCTACCTTATTGATAATTAGTTTGTTTAGTGATCTCCATATTTGCTATACACCAAGACTATGTTTGGATTTGTTAGAATTAATTATTTTACCGTAAATGACGTTAACAGCTAGGTTAAGTTAAAATTAAGTCAGTTAAATCAATGTGAATGTAACGGAAACGATATTTTTAATTTTCTTTTATATGTATACGTGTAACTTCAAATACGCAAAACGTGAAATTAGTTTGTTCAGAATTAATTACAAATCTTTAGTCACAATTTTGATTATTTGGGGTTATGTGTTGTACGAGGTAAATTATTCTGTTAACTAATCTGTTACATTTACATATTTTTCTAATGAATTGAATACTTAGTATTAAGTATACCTAAAGCATAAAAGCCCATTCGAATTTGTAATTATTCTAATAGTTCGAACGGATTTTTAAGATGATTTTTTATGAATAACCAATTTATGGGATGAAATAAATTTAAATGTTCCTTCATTCTTCAAAAAGACAATTCAGTTTTATTTTTATTTCATCTCATATTGAAAGACGTCAGAATCAATATAAATGATGATTGATGATGCAATAAATATTGAAAACTATTTTTATATATTTCTTAGAATCGCTATAAGTAAACAAAACTGTAAATGTTTCGCATTTAATTTAGTTTAAACGAACCTCAAATCAAGAGTGGTTGACTTTTTCGTAGACACAACCATTGATACAATCTCTCTTGACTTTCTATTCTGCTAGATTGTTAACATTAGATAGGTAGGTTTCATTATTTATAGTAAAATTAAGGCTATCATTTGACTGATTTTCCTAAAAGAAACCCTTTAATTTTATTTCATGATAATGAAGTAGAACTATAAAAACAGGTGGTTTATTTGGATCGAAGTTAGTCCAAATTCATTTATTTTTAATTAATTGCACTCGCAAATATTTCCCAAGGAATTCATGAGTCGCCGGAGATCTTCCGCGCATTCTCCACTTGCATTTCAAAACCTTTTATTTAATGTTGTGAAAAAAGTATTAAGTTTATTTTTATAAAGGGATTTCTAATCGCACCACCTGCCATTGCCGTTTCGTGTCATTAGGAATGTTTTATAGTTCCGCCTTTCAGGAACTGCGAGTTAAGGTGAGTATAGACTAGAGCATTTCTATGTAATGTAACGTTCTCACGAATGGTACAATAGAGGTAAAATGTATGACGTTTGGTTCGTGACAGGGTGATACACTAGACATTTCATACATCGGCTCGTTATGTTGCAAGCAAATGTTCAGTCTATACTCACCTTTATAGAGTTCCAGTTTGAATTGAGTCATCATCTACTATGAATATAAAACGCCGTTTGTGCGCTTTATAGCTAAAAACTTTTTATGTAAGGGAATGTCACAGCTAGGTGGGCGATATATTCGCCGCTTACACAAAAAAGGGATCTCAATTTTATTGTTCTCCTCTTTCTATGTAATATTTCCTACTAAGAATTAGTACCCTGATTCTTATTTTAAATGTACGGACAACAAATCGGAACACTTGTTTTTTTTTTTGTTAATAAAATCATAATTTAAATATTATGTTTCTCTTTTCATTTATCTACTTATGATCCCAATTTCTCGTGTTCTCAATCCCCCGGCATACGCTATGACGACATTGTCATAAAATGACCGTTGTAAATGATGACTTCAATCGAAACTGGAGATATTGTTTATAATAAATATGTATAATAACTTGGCATTATTTTATTAATTCTAAAACAAAGTACATAACAAACATTTCAGTATAGATTCAACTCGGCTTCAGAATTCGATTAGTTTGTTGTATTTGTAAAACAAGAGTAATCTCATACATCAAATTAATGTTTTAAACTTCTTGCGAAACTATTTGTTTAATTGAAACTTGCATTCAACCAAACAATGTCATTTCTGAAAGAACTTGTCCTCGTAGCCCAAGTTGTGTAAATATTTATTTGTTAAAATATATCAGGATATGCCACAATAATGAAGTTTTATTGCACACTAACCAATTTAATTTTTTTAAACAAACATCTGACCCTACACTATATCCTATCTGTAGTGATAATTAAAAAATAACTAGGATTATCAATTAAATTTGAATGTGAGCTTACTCAATTCGCTTTAAAGTCTGCTGCCCTCGCTTTATAGTCTGCTGCCCCACCATCATAATATGAGAATACTACTCTTGTCAGTCTGGCTATTGATCGAAGCTGGCTTAGGTTTCTAATAAATTGTATCACCGACAATTTATTTTATATAGGTTTCTTGCTGACCAAAAATCTGAGAATTAGGAAAAAGTTAAAATAAAAACAGTACTGTTGTATATTGCATGTATTTTAAACGATTATCACAACGCTCTATACATAAATTGCACCATAAATAAAAGTACCGTAAAATCAGTCTGGTACCAAAGAGCTAGATAAAACCAACTAAATGGAATGAATATAAAAATACTATGAAATAATTTAGCAATATACTATACATCTACTTATAATAATTAGTTAATTTACATAAGAAACGCCAATAAAAGATAGCTTAATGTATTCAATAGACAGATGAATGTAATCGTTTTACAAACATTATTTTACTCTAGTGAACACTTAAAATGTATGGGGCGTTCTCTACATATTTTATCGAACTACCGTAAAATTGAACCTCACATCACTGCAAGTTGGTACTATTCTAATTTTCACCTTACGTTTGAACTTTATTTAAAAATCACACTTCATTATTTTCCACATATTGGTAAATATTTTACAATTTAGGAATGTATAGGATGGAAGATATCGGTCATTAAAATTGATTAAAAACGAATTACATACATTCATTCTCACAAAAGACTTAACTGAGATAGATTGTGCGTGTAATAGGCCTTTTAAAGCATGACTAGGTAAGACCAATCCGTTGACGCCTCAAATTATTCTGTCAAATTGATTTTGTAAGAGCGAGGAAATATAGCAAAAGTTTTTAGCACCCATTTCATCATTGCTCGATAAGGCTAATAAAAATATAACTCAATAATAACAAATAGTACAAGATGTTTACGTTTTTAAATAAATAGTGACTAAATCCATAAAGAACATTGATGAAGCGGGCATTGCGAAATAAACCAGTTAGTAATTAAAAGTTCATATCACATAATAGTTTTCAGCAAACATAGGTTCTGCAAATAAAATAATATTCCACGAACATTTACATAATACTAACTCAATCACAGTAAATAAAAATGTCATTAGTATGTATAGACCTTAATATCCTAAGTTACTTGGAATTTTATTATTATGACCGTTTATTTTATAATAAGTAATGAAAACCATTATTCAAATGGATAATAACTAAATGGCGAATCAATTACGATATCAGAATACTAATCAGTAGGTAGCTATTTTACCATCTAAAAAGTTAAAATTCTAACTGGCACAATTGTGAGCATCCGATAATAAAATCCGTTCTAATGTAATATCTGGATGAACCCTGCTCAACGTATCACGTACTGCATTCGCCGTCCTACGCTCCCGACTATAGCTCGTTTAGGCTTCGGCTCCCTCTGAAAATAAAATAGATTTTATTGACGTGACGTGACGTGACGTGATACTATAATGTATAAGACGGTTTCTTCTGATTAATATCTATACAAATTCAACAAACTCCGCGATCTTAGCATGTTAACTTACTTAGAAAGAAGATGCTCAAAAAACTTGCTTTAAAAATTATTGGTATAGGGTAATGTAGACACTTGAATATTGTTTCAAAATCTTAACTACGATTTGTATTGTCTACACAATTAAAATAAAATAAAACACAAACTAACCTGGAGTTAAAGGATGATCTCGTAGCATAGAGCCTGAAAAATTATAAAGTTTCATAAATATTTAGTTTCAAAAATTGATAATAAATGTTCGAGAAGAGATGAGGAAAAAGCGTGGCTTATCATTGGTATCAGAATAATATTGATTTTGGCCACGGAATTTGCCACTCTGTTCTCCTTAGTACAAATAAACTACGTTGACTACGCACGCACTAAGTAAATTACCATTCTCCTGGGTTGCATTTTTATTTAATTTTATATACCTAAGTATGTAAGGGTCATTCCACAAAAATATGTCAACTCTTAGTCCGCGCCACATTTCACATGAAATATTTGTTAATATTTTATTCCAAAATTGTTAAATAATAGCTCGCAATGTGCTTTATTCATCACCCATTTATATTTTTTGAAAGAATTTTTAAAACATCTTAAATTCCTTTTGAATGACCCAAAACGTCATTCCCTAGGCATGTCCGTACTCCAAAAGTTTGTGTTTTGGGACCCGCATTTATAAAAACATCAACTTTATCCTTTGTTTTAATTAACGAATAATCTATTTAAATGTATATTACACCAAATTCTATTAATATTTTGCGGTTTCAATAAACAATAATTTGATTTTCTTTAGTTGAAAAAGAGTCTACAGCTTTTAGCGTCATTCCCTCGCCACGCACTGATTTTATAATTTTGCGCTTTAATATGTATTTAGAGTGAATGACATTTAGTTGAGTTTAAAGTACGATACGAAGTTATCCTCAGACCATACTGGCTTTGCGGTAGCCGTTTTTTGAATTAGTGCAAACGTGCCAGTTGTTGCGGAAACATGTGTTTATCCAGTCACTTCGTCAGTCCCTAGTCGAGTAGCTTTATTGATTACAATAAGAAATTGTATATAATTTAATTAGTATTTACGTGTGGTTTTTTGGCTATTTTCGGCACATCGTATTAAGCATCTTATAATATAAAGTTAATCTGCATGTGTGTTAAGTTTTACTCCAAATCGTCAGTCCCTAGAGCGTCAGGCCCTAGCTTTAAACGGCACTTGGGACTAAATTACTAGTTAGGGAATGATGTTTTTTATATGGTGATAATAACAAAACAACTACATTATGTATATTAACTTGTCTATAAATGTTAAGGTTATAAGTTTTATACTTTATTAGAAGTCATATAGGAGTAATGTAGTATGAAAAAATTTAAAATTATAATTTCTCCTAAAATAAAGCATAAAATGACTGGCCCTTTTAGACATAACATAATTAATTAATAAACTATAATTTACACTAATAAAGTATTCAAAAGCATCTTAAAAAAGTTACGGACAAAATGACGTCGAAAATATACAGATTTTTATGGAATGACCCGTAATACTTATAATATTGTGGGCATGCTTTACATGATAATACTTTTTGGTGTTGCTACGTATGAAAATAAATAATTGATACTATGGTTTAAATGTGGAAAATGGAACAAATAAAGAAACATGCAGAAAATGAAAGAATAATGTGCATGTGAATACGGTACACAAAGCTCTGATATGGGCTTGCTTTGATGGATTCGAATACCACTATGTATATTCGCTTCTTATGCATTTAAGCTGTTTGCACAAATTAAATTATATCCTAATGCTATTGACAATGCGCACAACAACTATCTAACTAAACTACAGAAACATACGAAGAACCAGTTTCTCTCTCACTTTGGTTGCTGCTGAAACAGTTGTTTCACTGGACATAAATCGATCACAGTTTAGAAAGAGATCCGCTAAAAGTGACTCAAGTTGATAAAACAGGGTAAACATTCCATTTACAAATATAAAAAAAACAAAGGTGCCAGGGACAACATTGAAAAAAAAAACAAGAATAGCACACAAAAAGCAGCGCACGCGCGTTTACCTATACAGCCTTGACATTGACTAGCGCTCAGTACAGAATAGCGTCTGAAAGTTGGTTACTGGTTAGTGCCGCGCCCGGCGTGATGCCCACGATGCTGCCGCCCACGCAGGCCTCCACGCCTTCTGTAGACCACCACCACACGGATCTTACACCACTCACACTGGCGCGGTTACAACACTAGGCTCAAGTTCACCAACAGAATAACAAGTAGTGCTGATAGTATCGCCGTATGCGTAATAGTATCGATAGGGCATTTTGAGCGATATGCGATACTATTGTTCTTATTGTGATTTCTGTCAGTTTTTGCAATACTATCGAGTATCGACTAAAGTTACTATTACATAATGGCGATAGTATCGATAGCACTATCGATTTCTCAAATATTTTTAGATGTTCCGCAACAGTAATAACGAGTGGTTAGTGACCAGTAAAATAATTTAGTAAAACCTCTATTAGTATCTGTTGGTAATCTCAAGCCTTATACTCGTTATACAATACTACTTTTAGCTTCACACACAGCCGTTGATAGCGTAATATTTGTATACTGATGTTGAGTATCAGTTACAAAGCCTTTGCTTACGTCAAGTGTTACTGATTCATTTGCGAACAAATTGCGTTATCGATAGTAGCAAGATATTACATATAAAAAAAAAATTAAAGATTTACTGTACATTATATTTTGAAGTGTTTTAAAACACACCTGAGCCAGTAAAATGAGTGTGTAAGAATCCAAAAAACATGCCAGTTAAAAATCATAACCGGTACCGGTATACCAAGTTTTTTAGGTGTCTCTTAACATGCCTGTTTATTCTGAAATAATTAGTAATTGTATAAGAAAATTAATAACATGTATTACTTGTTTCATAAATCCAATACCTGCCTAACGTTAATTAATAAGTCATCACAGTTGAACAAACACCGACTCTATGAAATTAAAAACATCGTGCATGTTAAGATTTTAATTAAGAAAACTAAAAAAACAGACGGAATACTTCGAAAAAACAATTAAATTATTATTAAATATTTAAAGTAAAAATGAAACGTTTTCTTTCATCTGTAAAATTAAAGACAATTGTTAGAACAAAAGAACTGATTGTGGTTTGATTAAAGAAATATAAAATAAAGAAACTAACTTTGATTTGTTTTGACTAGAAATATGAGCATATTTTGATTTAAAAATATAAATTGTATAGCCTGACCAGGAACATAAAAACCCTCGCCATGTTGCGGAAAACTAATGGTACTAATTTCTTTTAATGGCAACAGTAACTGAAAACTTCATTGACATGTCACCTTGCATGTCAGTCTATTGCTGTCAAAGTGTATACAAACTTTATTTTAAATGTGCGCAATTGGTTTTATGAATTAAATTGCTAAAATATTTTTATAGTCGTGAAAGAAAAGTGGTTCACAATGTGTTAAAGTATTTGTCGAAGAGAAATACTAAGGGTTCGGACAATATTTTCATTGAATAATGTTCCGACAAAGGTTGTCAAATTGACTGACATGTTCATCGTNGGGGAGACCGAGGGCATTTGAAACAAAGGTGATTTGAAACAGTACAGATTTCTCTGTACTCAAAACCGTTAGCAAGCTGGCAACGTCCCTTTACACCTACTTTCCGCCTCCCGCGGCCATGTCAGTTCGTGTCCATCGCGTAAGTCCCGCGGTTGTGGAGTTTAGTGTGCCATGTGACAAAAATCGTGAAAAGTAAGTTTTCAACGAATTTTTGCGATGCCTTTATTTTGTTATATGTTTTGTATTTTGGTTTAAGTTATATATGTTTGGAAAGCTCATTAACTAAAGATTTGTTATATATATTTAGTACAATTGGTTTCTGTGTATTTGCTTCTTGATCATAGATTTAATAAAAAATGGGAGGTTTTTTCTTACTGAGGAGATTTGAAACAGGGTGTTTCAACTCTCCTAGTATTTTTTTTGTTGGTTTAATTTGGGCATATTTGGTTATAAAGAAACAAAGAAAAAATGAAGACAGTGAAGAAGAAGAGGAAACTTTATGCCTTTGTTGTTTTGAGCCATATTCTAATAGCAGAGCCAAAGAAAAGTGGGTGCAATGTCTGGAGTGCAAAAACTGGGCTCATGAATCTTGCACTGGTGAGGAATTTTCTTATGTTTGCCACAACTGCTTGTCAGACTGATATTTTTATTTCCATAATTATTTTGATTTTTGTAATTTGTGAGATAGTTGTATTTTAACTTAAATCCCATCAAAAACAATACTTGTCAAAAAAACCAAGTCTCGCAACTCAGTTGTTCTACGGTAAAAAGTTGTGAGATCCATGTAATACCAAGTCCAGGCCAGGATATCTTTAACGTTTTACATAAATATATTGACTTGGCCATCGCACTAAATAATTTAATTTACACGTGTTTTCATGCGATGGCCAAGTCAATATAATCAGTAAAAAAAATTTATCAGTAAAAAATGTTGATAAAAAAGTTGTTTTCTTACTTGAAAAGTTTTATTTCAATAAAAACCTTTATATGATATCTACACTTTCATTAAAATATCCCTCAATACTTCTTAAAAATATATGTTTCAACTCTCCTCGACCCCTGTTTCATCTTACCTCGGTGTGAGGGGAGTTGAAACAAATTGACTTGTTACGGAGAAGTCGATTTTTCACCGCAATATTTATCGTTTACAATTTCTCTATGTTAATTATTCGCAAGTGTATAGAATTACCTATCGATTGGTACTAATATCATATAAATTCTGCCTACAGCGTTTTGTGTATGAAACAAATTGTCAAAATTGTTTCAAATGCCCTCGGTCTCCCCTANGGTTCGGACAATATTTTCATTGAATAATGTTCCGACAAAGGTTGTCAAATTGACTGACATGTTCATCGTATAGTACAGTCCACTATGAAAATTAGCTGTGGTTTGTTTCAACTACCTATTTTAAAATTTTTTGTCACTTTCTAAGTGTTGAATTTTATGGGATTGGGAAAGAAGTAAGTAAGTAAGCGTTCATGAGCAGACATTGCAGTTGAATATTCAAGTTCTGAATTTGATTATTGATGAATAATAAAATAAATTCTACTAGCTCGATTGATGGTTTCATTTAATTTATTTAAATCAGGCTACCTATAAATTTCGTTAATTTATGAAAATATCAAATTAGCCCGTAATACTGAATCCTGATACATAAAGTTAGCCTATTAATTTAACACAGGTACGACTGTACTCAGTGTTGCACTATCAAATGCAATTGACGCGCCTCTGTGCCAGGGTTTTTATGTTCCTGGTCAGGCTATAAGTAAGAACGCTTACACATTAAGCTCAATAGCTGCCCGCCAATCGTGTGAAACTAGCGTTACTGCGTTAATTGACAATATTCATAAAATATATCATTTCATCGTGAATACTAAAACTGGTTTAAAAATATTTTGAAATATACCAAAATGTATTAGATGTGGAAATTAAAACTGTGCTACCGCTATTTCACATAATGTAAAAGCGTTCTCCACTCTCTTTAGACTTGGAGTACTCCCAACGCCGTTTTCGATCGGATATGTTGTCACTACAGCTAAGTTCAGACAGCAGTTTGTTCTCGTTTACCTTTTCAATCAGGGACTTGTACAAGCGTAAACGATTTTTCATGAAAATAGTAACAATAGAAATAAATTAATTTGTTCTTAAGTAAAATATCCTAAAGAATTTGTTTTTTCTTGTATCCTGTAGGAAGTTGCCAGTCTTACCACCGGTTGCCGTAAGATTGTATCAAATACGACACGCGGTGGCGCTTAAATGTTCATGTCGCATCATACACAAATGTAACATCCAATCGAATGAAAATGGTTGTCGTTTGAAAGATTATTCCATGTAAAAAAACTCATCCGTAATTTGTAATCTGTGTACTTGAAAAGTTTAATCGTATATTCGCCGTTTGAACATAGCCATAGTGACTATGGCGGCGTCTATTTGAGTGATTTTCACACTGATCCGAAACGGCGTTAGAGTAGGCGCACACCGTTGATTTTACGTCGGCCGATAGTTTAGTCGGGCAGTTGATCAGTATTGGGCATGTATGGGAGTGCGCACACTACGCCGATTCGATTTGGCCGATTCTTCATACAATGTAAAATCGGGCACAACTATCGGCCAACTAAAAATCAACGGTGTGCGCCTACTCTTAGAGTTAAGCCCCGTTTATACAACACAGCTCACATACATCAGCTACAAGCACAGCGTTAGTTTACCTGTGGTGCAGGCGGCGGCGCTGGCGTCGGGGTTGCCAGCCACGGACCACGGCCGCGCCTTGCCCGGCGTGCGCGCGCAGCCGTTCCCTGAACACACGCACGCTCACGACTCACGCCACGCCCACGCAACGCGTATGCCACGCCCACGCAACTCACATTTTCCGAAGCTATGCTTATAGTTCCAAAATACTGAGCCCCGATTACGGTAACTTTTAACGTCTACAATCCAGACGCGCTTCAGACGCTTGGAGACGTTAAAAATTACCGTAATCGGGGCTCAGAACTGTCCTATCCATGACATTGACAGTGGAGCGCCACCGTCAATACCGGATCGCTGCTTCCGATTTTTGCCATGTTGGAAACCATATAGTTGAACGATGGTAGCGGCCCCCTGTCATTGAGTTTGGTGGGACAGTTCAGCGTGGGTCATCTATAAGCATTGACTTGATTGACGTAGAACAGTTACGAGACTCGATGTTGCATTTTATCTTGAGTTCTACGATATTTTTAATTGTAAACAAAAAACAGACTGAACTCCAGTCTTTTTTTTGTTTACAATTAAAAATTTAACAGTTCCAGTGCAATGAGTTTAAAATATTCTGAAGTTATTTCGTAATTTGTAATTTATGACTGAATCATAATATTCATGGTTTTGATTAATGTGTGAAAATTATGATATGTATTGTCATTATTAATGTAGTATGAGTAACGGTCGATTTGATAATTAGATTGATGAGTGATCCAAACATTCTGAATTCCATAATATCCATATCCGTTTTAATAAGCGTCGAAAAATGTGATGGTTGTGTGCATACATATAACGATATTAGCGGCGACAGGCGTTATGCTGTAGGCCAGCAGTAGCTTCACTCCAAGCCGACTGGACAGTACAGAAGCCGTGTAGCTCATACCCACACAGTGAATGGACGATCACAGTGTACAAAGACAATTTAAGCTTCGAAGCTGATATTTGTCGATGCTAGTAGAATATTGGTATAATAACTGTGCATTTTAGGTGCTACGTATGATATTGCCGTTTGGTATGAGATTTTGAAGATTATAAACTAATTTTGTTAAACAATTTAATAAATAAACAAATTAAGTTAACAGCAACTGTAATCCAGTCATTGTAGGAATCATTACAAATTTGATTTTGAAAAATGATATTTTAGTTTTAACTAAACCTTGAAAACGGTAAAAGAAAGAAACAAAATGGGGATAGTTATCGAGCTACAGGATAATGGGCATATGAATATGATATTAAACGGCAATTTCATAACAATCACTTATAACATTACATAAAGAGTAGAAAATTTTATTATAAAAATACAAAGGTGCGCCGTGTCAGCTTTTTAAAAGAAATGTGATCTAAAAGGTAATTTGTGTAGTTTGTGCCTTTTGTGATCAACAAGAAAAGATAAAGATATTGTTTGCTTAAAAATTAACAACTTTCTTTGCATTATAATCAAGATACTGTTTTGTTCTAAGATTCTATTAGCATCGAGTTCCACGAATATAAAGCATTATTGGTGACCTTACCCATGGTGTTGACGTTGTCTGAGGAGCGCGATGGTGGCGGCGTGGTGGGCGCTTTGGCTCCTACGTTGTCGGAAGACTTGCAACGGGACACCTCTGCAATGGGTGAGACGATATTTTGTGTGTGATTTGAAAATTAATCATCTTGTTCTTTTATCGCATTCATCTCCAATATGATTATACAGAGAGAAAGTAGTATTATGTAAGTTACAACTTTTTATGGCAGACAGATAAGCGAAATAATCTTAAAGAGTTGGTCTAAAAGCAGTAATGTAACCATTTAAAACGTGCTTTGCTACTCACCACATTCTAATAAGACGGGCGTGCTCTCTCCAGATGTAACGCTGTACCTGCAAAAATGAAATTTGATGTTAAGAATAGAAATTAAATATTGTCGGGTATCTGGTTGAGATAAGCAGATTATTGCAAGATTTAAGTGGTGCACATGGATCGTATATCTGATGACCATTGGGGTAGAAAAGTATGTTATTGAGTGGTGACCACGAACCGGAAAACATAATGTAGGCAGTCCTCTCACTCAGTGGATGGAAGATCTAGGTGAAGGTCACGGGAAGCACCTGGATGCGGTTAGCGCAGGACCGAGCGTTAGAAATCTGTGGAGAAGATGTTTGTCCAGCAGTGGACGACTGGACGTCATTTGGCTGAAATGGACGAGCATCAAACTTGCGTCCTTCCAAAAATCTCAAATCGGCAGCTCCATGCCTAAATCGTTGGGTCTAATTGTTGGCTCTAATATTGTCCCTTATGACGTCACACATGTCGTTTAAAACTCTTTTACACCAGCTCGTCTTCGCTTACATGGTGTCGTCGCGCTGCAGCGTGGGCGAGTGGCGCAGCGGCGAGGGCGAGGCCAGCGACGACAGCGAGTGCAGCGAGCGTGACGTCAGCGGCGTGCGCGCCGACAGCGACGCCTCCTCGCTGCGGCGGCGGGCGGCACTTACATGGTGTCGTCGCGCTGCAGCGTGGGCGAGTGGCGCAGCGGCGAGGGCGAGGCCAGCGACGACAGCGAGTGCAGCGAGCGTGACGTCAGCGGCGTGCGCGTCGACAGCGACGCCTCCTCGCTGCCAGGCGGCGTGCGGCAAGTGCGCCAAAACTCGTCCAGACCTGCCAACGCACAACACTAGTTATTTACGATACCAGAGTGTTACACGGCAAGCGAACAGAGAACATTTTTTTTATGCAAAACAAGGCAGGTATTTGACCACAATCGCACCTGATGTTAAGTGTATACATATTGTATTATCGCACTTTATTGTATACATATTGGCTTTACGCGACAATTTTGTTATTGTGATTGTATTGTCTTATATCTAGGATACAACAACACATTTTAGACAAAATGCATACCTTCATCGATGTCTTGTGACTGATCGGTGATAGGGCGTGATGGCGCTCGTGTTTTTGCCCGTCTGGGTCGACCTGTGAACAAAACTAATTGTTCAAATAAACACGATTACAAAACGAAATTCAACCATCAAATTACTAAACGTTTTAACTTGCAGTAGAGTTATCAGGATTATAACAGAGGATTTTATAGCGACGAAGTGTGTAATCCTGTATAGCATGAACGCGTGGATACTGCGCGGCCAGGGACAAGAGGCGCGTGTGTACGTTCATTGTAACCCGGTCGTGTTAACTGCGCACCTCGCTGGAATGCGAATCTCCCTCGAGCGTCGATGTGACGTCACGGCCGCCAGGTGTGCTAACTCATACGCACGTATACAGTTCGCTGCACAGAGTGGATACCTTTGACGAGGTGCCGCAGCGTGTGCGCGGGCAGGTCGGCGAGCGCGTCGGCGGCCTCGGCGTGCAGCGGCGGCAGCGACAGCATCTCGTTGCTGCTGCACTGCTGCTCCGCCACCGACTTGGGCCGCACGCGCCGCCCGCCGCGCTCGCGCCGCCGGCAGCCGAGCGGCGTCGCCTGCAAGAATGAATGAATGAACTACACTCGCGAGCAAAAGTATGGAATCACTTACATGAAGTTGTTTCCACGCGATCTTGTGTACTAACGAATTCGTTAGGAACAAAAAAAGTGGCACCATTTTAAAGATTAAACTTTTATCTTTAAATTGATACCAAATTTATTTGAATCACACCAGTATTTAAAAAGATATCCCGGCTGATGTGAAGAAGTAACGAAAAAGACATGTATGAACTGTTTGATACGTCGCGAGTTGCGGCCTATTTACCCCCTATAAAAGCACGCGTTTTCGGATTTTTGCTTTCACACGTTGATTCATACACATCTCCGCTTCTTTTGACACTTTACCTGGGATTCTACACCTTCAGAAGCAGCACGAATCGTTGCACTATTGCAAGAAGGGCTCAGCCAGCGGGCTGTCGCACGTCAGCGCCACATAAGCCAGTCCTGGGTTTCGAAAGTTTTAAGACGCTTTCGGGAGACTGGTGGCTTTATCCCGAGACCAAGTTCTGAACAGCGCCGGCGCACATCGCAGAGGGAAGACCGTTTTTTCATGTCAACCTCTCTATGAAATCGTCATTTGACTGGAATCGACGTCCAGTAAGAGCTCAGAAATGTTCGTAGGATAGCTGTTAGCGAGTAGACAGTTTGTCTAAGACATAAGCAATAGAATTTAACTCCAAAAAGGCCTGCCACAGGCTCGAAACTGACGGCAGGTCACCGATAAGCACGCTTTCAATTTGCTCGTACACATCTCGATGTTAAGTCGAGCAAGCCACCCCCATAAGCCACTGTTTCAGCGAACCAGCACTGCACAAATCGCTCCTCAGGCCGCTTATAAACCCGACCTCTTCGACTGCTGCCCTGCAAACACAGTTTGCATTCATCGGAGAACAGAACTCACCTCGCCTTCACATCGAGATGTGTACGAGCAAATTGAAAGGGTGCTTATCGGTGACCTGCCGTCAGTTTCGAGCCTGTGGCAGGCCTTTTTGGAGTCAAATTCTATTGCTTATATCTTAGACGAACTGTCCACTCGCTAACAGCTATCTTACGAACATTTCTGAGCTCTTGATGGACATCGATTCCAGTTAAATGACGATTTCATAGAGAGGTTGACATGAAAAAATGGTCTTCCCTCTGCGATGTGCACCGGCGCTGTTCAGAACCTGGTCTCAGGATAAAGCCACTAGTCTCCCGAAAGCGTCTTGAAACTTTCGAAACCCAGGACGGGCTTATGTGGCGCTGACGTGCGACAGCCCGCTGGCTGAGCCTTTCTTGCAATAGTGCAACGATTTGTGCTGCTTCTGAAGGTGTAGAATCCCAGGTAAAGTGTCAAAAGAAGCGGAGATGTGTATGAATCAACGTGTGAAAGCAAAAACCTAAAAACGCATGCTTTTATAGGGGGTAAATAGGCCGCAACTCGCGACGTATCAAACAGTTCATACATGTCTTTTTCGTTACTTCTTCACATCAGCCGGGATATCTTTTTTAATACTGGTGTGATTTAAATGAATTTGGTATCAATTTAAAGATAAAAGTTTAATCTTTAAAATGGTGCCACTTTTTTTGTTACTAACAAATTCGTTAGTACACAAGTTCGCGTGGAAACGACTTCATGTAAGTGATTCCATAGTTTTGCTCGCGAGTGTAGTTACAAAAATGAATGAAATGACAAGTCAAAAGGTGAAGGTGTCGGACTAGCTGACTCGAGATCCGTTGCCTAGATCCTGCTGGTTCAAACCCACTCGTAACAAAAGCATATTATTTTAGCTTGGCACGAGGGGACCATTAGTAATAAATACATTATGTGCAATATTGTAGAAATATAAAACATGTATGTACGTACACTAATAACGAATAACGAGTAGGTATACTATAGTGAGTGGAACATCACAAACAATTTTTAGAGAACGAAACGATGCGCAAATATAAACGAATCTCGTACAATGAGCGCTATATTCGGTTACGCGAGGATTTATTTGGAAAATAACAGATTGACTGACTTTTGTACATAATACTTATTTATTTATTTATTTATTTAGGAAAACCAGGGTTTTACAGTGTGTAATAATACATTTCTACTTACCAAATTCAAATAGTCCAACTTCTGTGATAGCGTGAAATTATAGACGCATGAATACATTGTATATTTTGTAGTAAAACAAGTACGACAAAAATACTTATGGGTACCGCAAAAAAAGTTTATTATGAAAAAAATTACAAAATGTTTCCGACGGAAAAGCAAGATATAGTCCAGTCATTTAAGCTTAAATTAGGTAAGAATCTCGGAATTAGAGATACCCAGCTGTAAGTCTGTAAATACTTGTATATTGACACCCTAAAAGTTGTCTCAAAACCTACATATGGTAGGGTGTAAGCAACTATTAAATTTTAAGGTCAAAGGTCACAAAAATCTGTTTTTTGCGCTTTTTTTTGAAATATCTCATTTCCTATGGGTTTTTTGCTATTTGTATTTATTATCAATATTGTAGAATACTAAATTCTCTACAAATTTTGTTTAAAAACTTTTTTTATACGGTGAACCGTTTTCGAGATAGAGGGCGGAGAGCGCGCGGTCACTGCATCACTTCAGGTCTACTTAAGCGGTTTAGATTTTTCATACAAAAGGATTTTCCCGCTAATTCCTGTGGGAATTTCGGGAATTCCTTGTTGTAACTAAGCTTTGAGTTTACTAAGGTACCTACATGCCAAATTTCAAGCGTCTAACTTCCGTTAAGCGTTTAGATTTTTCATACAAAAGGATTTTCCCGCTAATTCCTGTTCCCGTGGGAATTCCTAAGTATACTATAACCTGCCCAGGTGTATGAAGAATAATTGTACCAAGTTTCGTTAAAATCCGTCGAGTAGTTTTTGTTTCTATAAGGAACATACAGACGGACAGACAGACAGACAAAAATTTTACTGATTGCATTTTTGGCATCAGTATCGATCACTAATCACCCCCTGATAGTTATTTTGAAAATATATTTCATGTATAGAATTCTGTCCGTCTGTATGTTCCTTATAGAAACAAAAACTACTCGACGGATTTTAACGAAACTTGGTACAATTATTCTTCATACACCTGGGCAGGTTATAGTATACTTAGGAATTCCCACGGGAACAGGAATTAGCGGGAAAATCCTTTTGTATGAAAAATCTAAACGCTTAACGGAAGTTAGACGCTTGAAATTTGGCATGTAGGTACCTTAGTAAACTCAAAGCTTAGTTACAACAAGGAATTCCCGAAATTCCCACAGGAATTAGCGGGAAAATCCTTTTGTATGAAAAATCTAAACCGCTTAAGTAGACCTGAAGTGATGCAGTGACCGCGCGCTCTCCGCCCTCTATCTCGAAAACGGTTCACCGTATAAAAAAAGTTTTTAAACAAAATTTGTAGAGAATTTAGTATTCTACAATATTGATAATAAATACAAATAGCAAAAAACCCACAGGAAATGAGATATTTCTAAAAAAAGCGCAAAAAACCGATTTTTGTGACCGTTGACCTTGAAATTTAATAGTTGCTTACACCCTACCATATGTAGGTTTTGAGACAACTTTTAGGGTGTCAATATACACGTATTTACAGACTTACAGCTGGGTATCTCGAATTCCGAGGTGAACTTACTATAATGACTGGACTAATATTCGTGCTTATTCTAAAACTGTAAATAAGAAAACATTTTTTACCCCAGAATGCGAAATGGGTGTAAGTAGATCAGGAATATCTGGGTCCACGCTTTGAATGGGTTCGCTGTCCCCACCGTCCACGCTCTCACACGCGGAGAGAGCTAGACTCTCTACAGCTTCACTGTAAAAAAAAACGTATATTCTATATATTTATATTCATTGATTAAAAAACATTACTTAATACATCATTCTTCTAAGGAAATCGATAAAATAGGTTTTGTGTCACCACCTTAGCCGTAAAATAGCTATTACTAGCTTTCCGCCCGCGGCTTCGCCCGCGTGGAATTTTGTCTGTCACAGAAAAACTTTATCGCGCGCGTCCCTGTTTCAAAAACCGGGATAAAAACTATCCTATGTTCTTTCCCGGGACTCAAACTATCTCTATGCCAAATTTCATCAAAATCGGTTGCGAGGTTTAAGCGGGAAAGCGTAACAGACAGACAGACAGACAGACAGACAGACAGACAGAGTTACTTTCGCATTTATAATATTAGTTGGGATTGGTAACTGCTTTGATAACATGGCTGGAAAATGTAGCTGACAAAATAAAATCATATCAAATTTTCGATATCCACACCAGTATGCCACCCTCCGATTAGCGTGAAGAATAACACAATCAAGGTTGCCGCCGCCGTCTCTAAACCGTAAGCCGTAGCTCGGTTGTGAGAGTGATTTGATTCACACGTTGAATAATAATAATGACATTTCCGATCTATACTAATATTATAAATGCGAAAGTAACTCTCTGTCTGTCTGTCTTGCTTTCACGCCTAAACCACTGAAGCAATTTTGATAAAATTTGGCATAGAGATAGTTTGAGTCCCGGGAAAGGACATAGGATAGTTTTTATCCCGGTTTTTGAAACAGGGACGCGCGCGATATTTTTTTTTTGTGACAGACAAAATTCCACGCGGGCGATGCCGCGGGCGGAAAGCTAGTACCAAATAAATAATGTCCCCTTACTTGAGTAGATCCTGCAGCGTGGTGGAGCAGGGCGCCATAGCGTCGCGGACGGCCTGCAGCGTCACCAGCTCGCCGCTGCTGCCGCCGCCTCCCATCGCGGCGAACACTTCGCCGCATCTCTAGCGATGGGGAATATTATTTTGAGGGTATACTCGATGACAGACACTATGACGTCATGAGATTTTGACAAGTAGCAGTTGACATCTGACTCACTGCTTTCAAGTAAAGGCTGCTTGTCTACTGGAGGGGAGAGGATGAACTAATAGACGCAGGGGAGCGAAAATTTCAAGCAATCCTATTCTCTCATCTCCCCGCTCCAGTTGCAGTGGATAGGCAGCCATAAGGCTGTCTACATACATAAGTATGTAATCTTATAAAAAGTTGAAGAGCCGCGATTCTCCCCCGATCCACACAGATTGGCTAAAGCATGAAGTGGGAATGATTGAGCAGCAGTGGCTTTATCTCTTAGCATACTTGTTTCGTAGCTGCTTTACTAGCGTACTGTACCAACTAACCTGCAAGTACTGATGCAGCAAGAGATGGGCAGCGGCGGCGGCTCTCTCCAAAGCCACCGGCAGCTGTGATGGGGGCAAGGCGGCCCTAGTGACTTAAGCTGCGGCGCTTAAAGTCGGGATTGAGAAACTGTGGCTTTAACATGCTCCCTCGTAGCTACTTTGCTAGCATGTACCCACTAACCTGCAAGTACTGATGCAGTAAGTGATGGGCAGCGGCGGCGGCTCTCTCCAAAGCCGCCGGCAGCGGTGGAGGGGGCAAGGCGGCTGCAGCTTGGGCTGCTAAAGCGGCCGCGGCTTCGCCCCCTGCCCACGCGCGTTCTAAGGCCAACGCTCGGAGTCGGTGGGATTGAGCGCCGGTGGCGTTGCCTGCTAATCTGTTTTGGCAGAAAAAAGAAATAATATAAGACTTGATAAAATTGCATCTTTAATATAAAGCAAAAAGGTTGGACCGAGAGCGCTACTCTGGGGCATAGTTAACCCTTTAAGTGGTATAGAGAAAAATATTTTGAATTCGTTTTGTACCTTATGTTTTCTCAATAAGGTTCAAAATATTATGGTGGCAACAATTCTGCCACTACCAGTTAAAGGTTTAAGACACCCCTCCCCTTGTGATACGTTTCTTACGAACTATGAATGGTCAGTAAGACCGGTAGTTTCAATAAATGTTTAGTACCCTAAATCAAATCAAAATTTTGAATCTGAATGGTAATTAAAACAGTGTCAAACGCTTTGAAAAAGTTGTAGCTAGTGTCTTCGGTTTATTGTTTAGAGTTTCAGATACACTACGTTAAGTCCAGCAGTCTGATAATACGCCATAATATTTTGGGATTGAATATAGACAATAAATTAGATACACAGTATCAAGTCATACCTCTCATGGAGCTCCCGCCACAGCGTAGCGACGCGTTCGCTGGCAGCGCGGCCGCCGGCCGCCGCGTCGCAGCCGGGGAATTCTACGCGCCGCACGCTCACCGAGCGACGCAGGGCCATCGCGATGTCCGTCAAACCTAAACAATAAACATACTCGTTGATTGTCATTTGTTCATTCATGATTAATGAATTTCATTCATTCATTCGAGCGAAGTCCGTGAGCGCAGCTCTGCAAAGCGACCGAGCGAGTAAGAAGGAATGATTTGATCATGTGCGTGTTAGAAAAGGACGAGAGATGTGATGACGGACGAAACTGGGCATTTTAAATATGAACTTTAAACTCAAAGGTTTAAGGTTTAGATTTTCTTGTCATGATTCGTATGATTTCATTAGATAGCAGGCAGATGAAATGAATTATTTTTCACTAGTCACGCGGTTAATATTGATTGGATTGTTGTATACATACTGTGCTGTGAAACTGTTAGTTTTTTGTTGTGCGACATAAAATGAAACAGATATTGTTACATTTCATATTTTAGCTAATTAGCAATCGTTCATCATAATTCATACTTCATTAAAAGTAGCACATTATATGAAAGAGCTACATTATGACACTGCGAATAAAAATCATTGCCTGTGAAATCATATGAACAAAAATCATCATTTCATAGAATGAAAATGAATGAAAAAAAGCAATTATTTCCATGCCTAATCAAAACCAAATAAATGTTATATTATCTCTAATTTTTTTTCTATTTTCATCATGTCTTATAATTACCACATCTAATAAGATCTTTGAAGGAGAAACCTGTTATTAAGTTACATAAGATTATATCTTTACTAATAGTGTTCTTATCAATATGCATTATTTATTGGTTTATAAAATAAATAAACAATGAATAATTAAGGGCGTTCAAATACTACCCTAACTCAATACATTTATGTCTCAACAGGATACCTACTCATCTATAAATAATTTTGAACCATTAAATGTAAATCGTACAGTACGGTAGCCTTACCTTGCAAGCTGAACGCATTGCGGTCGATATACAGGGTGTGCAGAGTGCAGTTGCACTGGAGAGCCTTCGCTAGCAGCCGCGCCCCGGCGTCGCCCGCCAGGTTGCCTCCCACGTCGAGCGAGCGGAGGCGGCGAGCCCCGCCCAGGGCGTTCAACAACCCGTATAGGTCTCCCTACAAGTTAAAATAACATGGATCAGCAGTGTACTAAGTGCGAGTTTACATAACGTCATCGTTAACGACAACGACTACGTAAAAAATGATATGAAACGTATGTATGTACAGCGTCCCTTGCGGATACTTTGAAGAACTAAAATCTTCATAGATTTTTTGACGTACTCGCTAACGATGACGTTTAGTATAAAATCGCACTAAGCACAGAGGGCTATTCTGAAATGTTGTTAACGTATGTAGATTCGGGTCTATCTGTCACCGTCGCCCATGCTGGCATCTCACTTTGCGTGAGAGGGATGGCAACATTCGAAAGTATGGATAACGTTTTTCAGAGTAACCCCACAATTTGTCTGTTACATAACAATTATCTGGTCAAGAATAAAGGTTTAAATAAGTTTAATTTTGGTTATTTTACCACTGAGGCCAAATGTTATTGCAATGACTCATGGAAGTTTAAATTGATATTGAATAATGTTTTACTTTTCTGTTTATCCGTTTTATCTACTTGCGATAATAAAATTTGTTTAGCTTGGCGTTAGGTGATTAGTAGTGGTAGATGGTTGTTTATTTATTTATATTCCAATGTTTTAGGTAAATAGTTATTTTATTCGATGTTTAAACAATACATTAATATAGTATAGTATAATAATATAATAGGAATGTTTCTACAATAATTATAATTTGGACTATAAATTGGCAGGCTCAAACCTATATCACTTCCTTAATACGAAATAGCATCTGTTTTAGAATTTAATAATTCACATATAATATCCTATATTTGGCACAGATAAAGAGGTGTGTTTAATTCTAATAATACACGATTTTACCTTCTTGTATTATCGATGTTTCGTCTGACCGTGTGCATTACTCATCTTTTTTTAACAATACGATATCTGTGATAAAGTGAGACACTATCATCTATCATTGATGAATTATGTGCTATTATTTTATTTTATTTTATTTTTAAGGTCGAGTTCAACGCATAGTCTCGTTGTTACATTCAATTTTATTGAGGAAAATATCTTACCTTAAGTTTACAATCACTGAGATCTAATGAAGTCAAGGCGGTATCTGGTTCTTGAAGAACGTGGACTAGAGCCTGAAATAAATAGAAACATTATTGTCATGTCCAAACTAATATTTGATATTGAAAATTGAACTTTACTTACTTGTATTAGAGGCGGCGCATACGATCTTTTCCCCGTCAATTTGCTTAGTGATAAATGTGTGATGGAATGATTCTTTCCTATAGCTCTCACGATGCCAGACAATTCAAACTCCATACCTAGAAACAGAAAAATTCAATGTTTTGTAGGTATAATGTATAGGGGATAGGACCATCAGTTCATTAGAATACATTTTATGCACTTTCAATCTACTACTATTTTCCCGTAGTTTGTATTCTATTTGTATTATGTTTGTATTCACTATTGTCATTCAAAGAACCGAAATTGATTCAACTTTTCATACACAATTTTAAGGTGCGCAGCGCTGTAGTGCTTTAATGCAACACAAAGCCGAATCAATGATACGGGGCCCCCAAGGCCCACATGTAAAGCGGCTTTTAGAATCACGCAGATGGCTCGTTGATCGTCGGCGCTGACAGATCAATATGTATGTAATTAAGTAAATGTTCCTGAGTGACGCTGATCGCTCGTTGTCGAAGCTTCGCTATCGCTACCACACACACAGAAACTAAAGGGCGATGTAACAAAGGGGCGGGGCCGGTGTCACAGCAATATGCCCAAAAACAGAACACATTGCTCGTGACAGCAATGATGTCAGCATGCTGACGTCTTACGTAAACAGTTTACATTGCTTGCGTAGCACTAAAGATTCGAACGTTAAGCACTGATACCGCAGTGGATAATGAGCACATAAAATTTGATTACTTTACGTGTGTGAATTTCTAATGCGACACTGAGTTTCGAACTCAGCGCATTAGTTGGCGTCTCTCTATATCTCTATGTTTGCTACATTTCCGCTGTCAGCGCGATTCTAAAACCAGCCTAAGACTAGAGGTGAGGCTCACTGTTGTCGGAGAGGTCGAGCGAGGTGAGGCAGCGCACGCCGTGGATCCGCCCGCGGCAACGCGTGGATCGTTTTCCCCCTAAGGGGTTGAATTTTGCAAAATCCCGTTTTAGTGAGCACCTACGTTCTAAAAGGAATGCAATATTTGAAAATACCAATAGCATTACAACAATAAACAGATATCAACCGTCCGTCGTTGTGTCTCATTTCCCCCCGCTGCGGCCAAGACACCCTTAGCCGTCGCTATGATCAGTCCGGTGAGTCTGCCGGGCTGGCAGCGGGTCCCCGCCGCCTACCTGCCGTCCTAACGCTGCTGCCCTGGGCGACCTGGGAGCAGCTTCCTTCCTATCAAACCCTTATTATGTCTAAGTATCTATTTTTAGGCAGGGCTAGGGCTCTAGGGACTTATGCCCGTTTACATCATCAATCCCAAATTTTTAAGTGACTCCTATGAAAACAAAATTCATACAATTTGTTACTATAGGGGTATCTTAAAAATTAGGGATTGATGGTGAAAAAAGGCATTAGTGTCTTAGGAAATAGGGACTTTAGGCTCACTAGGGAGTTAGTTCCCTTCCTGACCGCATATCCCGGGCACGGGAGCGGTGCCTTACAACCACTGCCTCCCGCCCGTACACTAGCACTTGTAGTTTTTGAGATATCGTGAGGCTCACTGTTGTCGGAGAGGTCGAGCGAGGTGAGGCAGCGCACGCCGTGGATGCAGGACTCCAGCACGTGGGCCGCCTGCGCCGACGCCAGCACGCCCGCCAGGTTCAGCGCCACGCCCGTCGCGCTCTCGTTGCACGCCAGCCCCAGCAGCAGGCTCCTGCGGCAACACATACAGTGTGAGTCACGTTAGTGTACATATGAAAATAGATGAAACTAGACCTATTTTTATCGACAAAAAAGAGGTCAAAAAATTTTTGTGATTTTTTTGTTATTTATTTATTTATTTAATTTTTTATAGAATTTTTTTCTTCCAATTACTTATTGTAAAGAAAACGTAATAACTTTTAAAGTAAGCAGTATATCCTGATAAAATAAAAACAGTAATAATGCTAAATAACAGGCAATACTAAAAAAATACATGAAATACCCAGAAAATGCCAACAAATAATAAAAAAATATACTTTTTGAAAAAAATCTGCTTAAAAATTTGAATTTTTTTGGTTATTTGATAAATTTGCCCCTATAACAGGTTGTTTTTATTACTTTTTATTATTCTCTATCGTATTATTTTAGTAAAACCAAAAATAGTATGTCTCTATCCCTATCAAAACGTTTGTAATGATCGTTTGAACTAAGCCTCTTCAGCCTTATCAGGATATACCGCTTAGTTTAAAAGTTATTACGTTTTCTTTACAATAAGTAATTTGAAGAAAAAAAATTCTTATAGCAAACCGGTTACTACGTGCCTATCGCGCCGGCATCACGCTACGCTACCCGATATGGGCATAGCTCGAATCCCGCGCGAGCTACACCCCGCGCGCCGCGCCCCGCTAACGGTTACAGCGCTCTAGAATTTTCGATCGGCGTCCCGCCCATAGCCGCGACGCATCGATCGCCAGTACGCGTTCGCGCTCCGCACGTTACACGCGCGCGCGCTGCTCATATCTGGCGCCCAACGTGGGGCGCCCAACGTAAAATATGTATAAGTGACCTACAGTGACAGTGTAAAAGTTATTCGTTCTCCGCAATGCATACAAGAAGCCGAAACGCGTGTGACAGAGAGAATGCGGCGCCGAATCCCGCATTTCCCAGCCCTCTGACGCCCACGCCGCCGACGCAGGATCGCGATGAACACGAAGTTCCAACAAGCCGCGATACGACCTACGTTCCCGCTTCTCACTTTTCTACTGAAAACGTAGCCAGCATAATAGAATCATTGCAAAGATCGCAGACGGAAGCATTCAAAGACCTCCTGTTATCTGTGACACGAATTAACACGTCGACACCGGCCCCAGGGGAAGGCACCCTGGCCCGCTGTAAGTCACAATTTTCCGGCCACCCGAACGAATCGGTAGAAGCGTTTATAGACGCCGTCGAGGCGTACAGCGACTGTGCTCAAGTGTCCAGCACTAACATCGTTCGCGGCCTCGCATTTCTCTTCAGTGGTGATGCTGCTACGTGGTGGCTTGGCATCAAGAACACCATCACATCGTGGGACGAGGCCAAAGAGAACCTGATAAGTGCCTTCGGTGACCGCCGCCCGCCACACCGCATTTACCTACAGCTATTCGCGAGCCCGCAGATGCACAATGAAAACACGGACACATTCATAGCGCGCAGCCGTGCCCTTCTATCGAAAATATCGGATAGAGACGTCTCGGAGAAGGCCAGGCTAGACATGGTGTACGGCCTCCTACACACTAAAATCCGGCAAAGATTACGCCGTGAAGAATTTGCCACTTTTCAAGACCTACTACGTCATGCGCGCAATATAGAAGACAGCCAGGGCGAGGCAGACACGTCGAGAGGTACTCCGACGCCGCGCACGGCACCCCGCGCGAGCACAACATACGCCGGTCCCCGAGCGCCCACTTATACGGCGCCGGAATCCGCCATACGTGCCCCGCAACCGCCGCCTGCCGCCGCCGCCAGCCGCTATCCGGCCCCCGCAGCCGCCGCCACCCGGGCGCCGCCGGCCGTCACGTACGCCGCCGCCCGCCAGCCGCCGCCGCCCCCGCCGCCGTCGTCCCCGCCGCCGCAACCATCACCTGACGCCGCCGCCGCCCCCGCCGCGAGAAAGTCGCGTCCCACATGCACGTACTGCAAAAGGTTTGGACACACCCGCGATCAATGCCGTAAGTTGCAGAGCCAAGGTCAGTCCCAATTCCCTACTAACTATTCAGTGCGTGATAACGGTGATAACTCGTTGCGTGACAAAAGTGAGCCATTCTTTAGTGTCGAATCCCGGTCGTTTTCGCGTAAAGTGCGTAATCAGTGTTCGAAACCAATTCGTAACTTAAACTCTAAAGACTCTAACCATAAAACTACAAAGAAAACGACTCGTCCATCAAATAATAGCAACTCTAAAATACCTACTAATTGTAGTGATCAAAGTTCCTACTCGTGTCCCGCTTCCGATGTGCAAAATCATTCTATTTCACAGAGTCCCAAAACGCGATTAAATACATTATTTGATGAACGAAGTCGCAATAACATTCAGTGTAATAGCGATAGTTACAATGCTCAATCTTTTAAAAGTTCGATTACTCCAGAAAAATGTAATTTTTCTCACTCTTGTAAAGATAAACAAGATGCTAAGAGTAACAATAGTATGCCACAATGTAATACGAATCAACATGTTCAATCCTTACCAATGTCTCGTAAGTGTAATTCCGAAAAACTTAATTTTTCGCTGCCATGTGATTGTCGTAATAATTTGTCACAATGTAATAGTAATCAGCATACTCAGTCCTTACAAACTTGTAAGTGCAATTTTGATAAAACCAAATTTAATTCTTGTCAATCCTGTGACAATCGAGATAACGTGTCACAGTGCAATAATATGACGATTTTGCGGATAGCCCCGTAGGCCGCGATTTACGCCCTATTTTTCATATTGACATCTTAGGTCACAAGGGTACCGCTCTCATCGATACGGCCGCTAGACACTGTATTGCGGGTCACACGCTGTATGCTCTCCTTCTACGCCTGGGTCATCAACTTCATTCTTCCTGGCGGGAAATAAAACTCGCTGACGGTATAGTCCGACGTATGGAGGTACTTACTACCACATTACCTGTGCGCTTAGAGCAGACCGTCATTAGAATCCCATTTTTAATTTTTCCAGACGCTACAAATAACGAGACGTTACTGGGAATAGATTTTATTACAGCTGCTAAGGTAGTAATAGATTTTCACAACGACTTGTGGTTTTTCAGCAATAATGATCAAATAAAATATAACCTTTCGTTTGAACCTACCTCTCGTACCGTGTCCTGTGCTTCCACAGAGGTTCTTAGGGATGATGAAGGCCGTCATCTCAATCCAGCTGAGCGACAAGCGCTCGCTGATGTCCTCACCAGGCACGCGCATATTTTCAAAAAGGGGGAGGCCCAACACCGTATGCAGAGCATCGCATCGAGACTGGTGAACACCCGCCAATAGCTGTGCCTCCTTACCGCCTGAATCCCTCAAAGAAGGAGCAAATGAAGGTAGAGATTGATAAAATGTTACAGGATGACATCATCGAAGATTGCGAATCGGCTTGGTGTTCCCCGGCGCTGATGGTGCCGAAGTCCAATGGTGGTATCCGTTTTTGCGTAGACTACAGACGCCTAAACGCAGTCACCAAGTCCGATACTTACCCGATGCCGCGCATCGATGAGCTGTTGCAGAGTACTAAACGCGACTGCTTCATGAGTACCCTGGACCTGAAGTCCTCGTACTGGCAGGTGAAGGTACGCGAAGCCGACAGGGACAAAACTGCTTTCACTTGCCCTCTAGGTACTTACCGCTTTAAGAGAATGCCGTTCGGCCTGAAAAACGCACCAGCGACATTCCAGCGCCTCATAGATCGTCTCCGTTCCTGCTCAGCTTTACAAAACGTAACTATACTTGCGTACTTAGATGACCTACTGGTGATTTCTGATGGAGGAATCCAGAAACATCTGCAAGACCTCGAGGCAGTTTTCAAACGCCTGGCCGAGTTCCACCTCCACGTCAACAGGGAGAAGTGTGCGTTCGCTAGAGAAAGCGTCAAATACCTCGGCCACGTTGTTACCCAGCAGGGTATTTCCACCGACCCAGAGAAGGTGAGTGCTGTCCTCGAGATGAAGGAACCAGGTAACCTTAAACACCTGAGAACCTTTCTGCAGACCTGTTCATGGTTCAGGAAATTCATACCGAACTTCTCTAAAGTTGCCGAACCATTAACACGCCTAACCAGGAAAAACCAAGTATGGACTTGGGGTGCTGACCAATCCCGATCTTTCAACGAGCTGAAGCGCCTACTTACCTCGGCTCCTGTGCTGGTGCAAGCTGATTTCACCCAGCCCTTCATCCTGCGCACCGATGCAAGCAATTATGCCCTCGGCGCAGTGCTACTACAAGGTGAAGGT